AATAAATTAGCATTACCAAACATTCAAGAATACAGGTTGTAGTAGCTCTTCAAATTTCAGTGGATGTTGTACAGACAGAGCATTGTTCATAGTAAAGGGATAAATAATTCTTATGAAAATCGTTTCTATGGATATATTATAATTAGAAATGGCACGTGTCAAATGAGGTGTTTTGCGCCAGATATTCAAACTAGAAATCAGTTGTGTGTGACTTTTAGATACTTATTTATGTATTAGGTAAATGTGTGCAATCACTCAGATGCAGGTTGCCACTTTGCCTAACTATTCTATGATCAGAGATTAAAAAACTTCATTTTGAGCCAAGGGGTTATTGTTCAACCCAGACCTTCTTGTTCAACTCAAATTTTTACTTTCAAGAAACATAACATGAAAAATGAAATCAAACCTCAAGTCTTGCTTTATACAATGTTGATATGGTCATCAATGATTCTAGTGGAAAATGCACAGAATGATACAGACATCATGATTTGTCAGTCGTCAACATCAGCTACGAGTCTTCTGGTGAATAGAAGAGAAGGAACATGTTACCATTTAGCAAGAGAAAAAGCAAATTACGAGGTGTGGAAACTTGCTTGACTTGAACGCCCTAAACGTACAGCACCAAATAAGAAGTGCAATGCCCTGTACAAGATGTCATTCAAATAGGCTCCCGACCTTACAAATTGCAAGAAAAACTTGTCTTATATATGCACAACCAATGCAGATATTCGAAACAGAATAATATTTGATTCTTGTGAGGATGCAGAGCAAACCAGTATAGTCATTGAGTCATCTTGATTCGCCATTTATCAGACTCAAATAATTTAAATGGAATGACTTGGGACTCTCATCAACTAACCGCCAGTGACATTTAACATTCAACTCAGTGATTGACTTGACTTGAGACCGTTGGTAATGCCGTCCGAGTGCCGCAAATGCAATAAGAAAGCCTAATAATATAGGGCACCTGTGCCTCTTCTTTACCAGTCATATGAAGTATAGAAGTGGATTATTCGGTTTTTGCCATACCATTCCAAATTTAACTCAAAACATTTAATATTACCAACCTCTTGTGTACTTTCATTTTTATTTTCTTCTTATTGTAGCATACGCTGCTAAAACCTCGAAAATGTTCTCGGACACAAAAACACATTGCATGAAATCTCATTAACTCAGTCTGTTATCACCAAGAAATTTGAAGGATGTGAAAACTACTGAGAAATATCTAAGAGAAAAATGGAATAAATGATTTAATTTCTCAAAGTAAAAATTAATTAAACTCTTTTGATTTTATCAATCTTAACAAATCTATGAATCTGTAATATTTAATTTTATTAAAAACAATTTTTTTAACCAATCGATATTATCCTCAATAAACCTCATTTTTTATTATTGTTTTGAAAAAAGTTTGGAAATCTCTCTCCCATTAATTCATATTGCTACAAATACTCATTTCTGCATAATATTTCATAAGGAAAGCACAAGAAAACCATTGCCTTACATTTTATGGATTGGGCTTATATGGAGAAACAATATTCTAACTTGGGATTAAGGGATTGTTTTGGAATGTGATTGCAGGAAATCTCATTAACTCAGTATGTCGTTAACTCAGTCAACAAAAACTTTAAAGGACATAAAAGCCACTGAAAAATATCTGAGAAAAAAAAGAAATGAATGATTTAATTTCTTGAATTGAATATTAATTATCTTTTTTTTTTGATTTAATCAACTTTGACAAGTCTATGAATCTGTTATATTTAATTGATTGAAAGCTATTTTTTTCATCGATTGATATTATCCTCAATAATCCTCATTTGTTTTGTTTTTAAAAAAAGTTTGGAAAACTCTTTTTCATTACCTGCTGCCTGCTGGTAATTCCTGTTGCTACAAACACATTCTTGTTTAATATTTTACAGGGAGAGCACAAGAAATTTATAACCTCACGTTGTATAGATTGGACTTACATGGAGAAACAATATTCTAACTTGGAAACTTGGCATTTACAAGGAAACATTAGCAGACGTTAAAACGGTATTATAATTAACAATTCTAGAGATTCAGGAGATACAGAAATCAATGCTGGATAAAAACTCAATTCATGTATCATCATGGTTTGTAGTCGAATCAATCACTAAACTGAGAGTCACTGGCGGTTAGTTGAGTACGAGCAGTGGTGTAATTCAAAATGATAAGAATAAGAACGGGTTTCTTTTTGCATCGAACTCGCTACCAACAGGTTCCCTCATTTCAGAAAAATGTGCGTATATCACTATGTAAGCTGCATTACCATGAAACACATTTCATAATTTGAATGCCGAACTTTTTAAATATAACGCTAGTTGTCATTTGTGGTTCAAGTAACCCATTCGCTGAGTTGTCTATCTTCTAACAAGACCGTCTTGGCGCAAACCTGTGCAATCACCTAATCAAATATTTTCTGATTATATATTTTTTATTATACACTCTTCTTGCTTTATTTTTATTCTCGCATGATAAAAACAAATATCTCAATTTGACCATAAACTAGCACTGTTGGATATGATTTCCCTGTTTGCTAACTTTGATTCATTGATTACAATATTTTTTCAGTCAGTAAAAAAATGAATTGTACATAAATTTACAGAAAAAGTTAATCATAAGTATTACCGGTACTGGGGTATTCAAATTATATAATAACGCTACACACATAAATAGCATGAATGAAATCACATTTATTAAAAAATATTTGGAAGTCAGAAAACTTCTACCGTGATTACAATAAATCTCTCCTACTTAGGCAATGCACATGCTGATCTATGTTAACGATGCAGCAATATGAATTCCGGGCGCAAACGACAGCACTGGAAGCATTACTTCGCCGCCAGTGACGCCGCCACGATAACCCAAGATCCTAACCCAAACTATACCAAAATCTCACTCAAACGTGGAAGTATCACTAACGCCAAAAACAGAGTGAGATGTTTTATTTCTACTACCAATGTTAAAACGAACAGAGAATACGAAACAAGTTTGAAATGTTGCATAGCATTTTTTCATGTTTTCGTTTTTACCCAGTAATTTGTCCTAGCTTTCTCTCTCTTCCTTAATTTTCATAAAATAAAACAATATTGCAATAAATGATATTTATCAATAACAGTAATTCATCATAATATACACATATTGCATTATTAGTTGAGTTATATTATAAGAATTCTCCATTTTTTGTTAGGTTTAACAATTTTCTTTTTTTCAAATGGTAAATTTCTTTCGTTTTCTCCGATAGTGCCAATTAACTTCAAAATATTTGAACAATGGCTTTCTATTACCAATTTTACATTTATATAAATAAAATAAAAAATAATTGGATTATGTATAAAATAAATATGATTGTGTTTGCACCTGTTAGTGGCTATGAATTAATATTATATTTTTAAATACCGTGTTTCCGCCAAAATTAGACAGGGTCTTTTTTCAATTTCTTTCGAAAATAACACTAGGGCTTATTTTAGTCTTCTTCTTTTTTTCATTCAATAAAAACAAAATTACAAAGTGGAAAATTAGCCTACCAGATTTCCAAATGTAAAAAATGTGGAAACCGATATCAATTTACCCATACGTTACACGTTTTTCATTTAAAATAACGGCTAAAATAGATTATTTGATAGTCATTTAAAATAATCATTTAATTAAAACGTGTGGGAGAGATTTCTTGCTATCGTCTATATAGGTCAAAAATTCGCATGTTCGACTAGGTCCTATTTTAGGGGAGGGCTAATAGTAAAATCATTTTTATAAATTCAGTCTAGACCCTTTTTGTCGGGTAAACGTGGTATCTTAATAGGTACTGTATTATTTCCTTTGACAATCCTTTTTTAAATTACATTCTGTACGTTTTAAGCTTTACTTGAATGTTTTGTTTGTTCCACTGCTTCTGCGACCCTACACAATTACCAATGCAATCGGTACGTTGAAATGTCCGAACACTTTTACAATGTAAGTTTTGCATTTACAGATCTAAGGATTATGTCAACTGTTTTTCCTCTTTCTAGTTGGTTTCACCGTCTGGATAGTGTGTTGTTGTTGTCATCAGACTAAATTTCCATTTTCAAGAGCTATGTGCCTGATAAATATATTGTTGACTATGTTAATGTGTATCCGTGGACGCAGAAAATCAGGGAATTCGGCAATTCTTTTTTCAAAGAATGTTATTGTCTAAATGACATTAATTAGTAATTAATAATTAAAAAGAAAGTTTAATTCAAATAAATAATATTCAAGAAACAAAAATTAAGTTTTTTTTTAAATTCATTCAAACCCACGCAGTTCTTATATACAAGTTCAATTGTGACTGATTCAAAATGGGGAAGATCTCGATGAAACACTTCGCTATTTATAAACTATCGCTATTTGTTGGCACGGTCTTTGATACGAGATGTTGATACGAGTCACAATGAATAGGTGTCAGCAATGAATTTGTCAAACTATGCATACCATCGAATCGTGTTCACGAATCACCCATGCTCTAAGGTTGTTCTTGCAGCCATGAAATGTGCTGGAATTGTACTTCGGCGCGTTAGGGGTATCGACTGTAATTTGAAAATTCTTTTGGTCGGACGGGTAAACGAAAAGTCTGAATACCCAACTCAAACTACGCTACCGTCTTATACTTCGGGAGCGCCCAAATTTGTCTAAATATTCCATGAATATTTGTATATTATCATTCTCAAACAACTCACAAAGCCAATGAAACTCAAATTCATAACCCTAATATTCTTGCGCGACTTTGCGATCAGAGAAGTCTATATACCGAACTATATAAAGTCAACAATCCTAAAAATTCACATCATTATCATTTTCACACAACTCCCAAAGCGACTGAAAATTGCTCTTTACTACTTTTCTAATTTTTGCACCTACATTCCCGCCATTTTAAAGCCATAAAGTTGTTAAACCATTATCCACATTCCCCCTACCCGGGGTCAAAAAACACGCTTACAGTAAATTGATAAATAATACAATGTATACAGTTTTTTATTGCAATGATAAATTTGGTTGCTAAATCAATTTTTTCATACAGTATTCAGTTGAAATATACACAGCCAAGATACCTAAATAATAACCGAGAGTGGGTTTTACTTATAATACGTAAATTAAAGTTGTAAAACAAATCGAAATAAAACAAAAATCGAAAATTAATATCACATTAACAAGATTTGCATTCTAATGTGGAGCACGGTGAGAAATTCGTTACAAAATACGATAACTCTATTCGGATTTTTTCTCATTGCGAAGGCGATATTCTTCATGTAGGTAACCAGCGCCACCTCCGATGGCAGCTCCAACAATAAACATTGGAACGAAACCGACTGTCGCCGCCACTCCAATAAATCCCCCGGCTAAGCCGAGAGCTAAAATTTTCCACCAGTTCTGTTAAAATTAAATGTTAAATATTTACAACTTGAATGAAATCAATATCAGGCAAGATGGTCATTTGTTTCAACTCGGTGAGCATCGGTTGTTTTCACTTGATAACCCCAAATTAATTGATTCGATTGCCGGTAGTCCATATTGTTGCTGTTCCTAAATGTTTCTAAGAGTCACAACCCTAGCTATATAATTGCCTCATTATCCCAATTCACTTCGAGTTAAGGACGAAATTGCGAATCTATAGACAAATTGTGAAAACTAAATTTCAACCGAGATCCGTCGTTTTTTTTCTAGTTCGAGAATTTCACACTTCATTATTATTTCAAGGTGGTGTAAATGCATCATTACAAAAATGAAATAATGGCAAAAGTTATGAAAAAGCATTTTTGATAATTTAATTAAAGTTCTCACCGTCTTTTGCACGCCAGATTGCAAGAGTTTTTCTTCGAGATCTTCATGATATGTGAATTTCTCAAAGTAACTTTTGTATTTATACAGTCCAGGCTGAAAATGTATTTTTTCACTTGTCATGAAGGCAAAGCAATACTAACAGCAATGCATCGCATAGATTGAGGGGAAAGTAAAATTATGCAGGCATTTAGTTCACTTATTTCAATGTACCAACCATAATGTTAATGAATATTCAATGAGTAGCCTACTTTTACATTACCCACGTACTCATGGGTGCTATGGCCAAGTGGCTGATGCGTCAAACACCATATAAAATAATGTGATGAATTGCAGGTTGGAAACCTTGGGTTCAAATTCCATGCTCAATGTCAACATAGAAAGTTTCGCGACAGACTGAGTAGTTTATGATCTCATTAAGGCAATTATGGAGCGCTAAAGAATATTAGTAATATCACAACAAATACAAAGCAAAATTTTTCCGCCAGAAAGTAAAAAAAATTTCCCAGTGAGATATTTCTCCCTGATTGTGAACGCAGTCTTTGAGTATCAGTAGCTTCTTGTACCCAGCTTTGTTCGAGATGACGGTGTGCAAAAGCACTGTGGAATGAAATAACCGGACACTACAATAATAGGAAAAACTGGTTTCAAACCTCGGTTTCAGCAATTTGAAGCAACATTTGAAAACATTTCTTCATATCCCTATTCTCGGCCAATGTCTTTTCCAATTTCCGCAGCAACTGCTCATTGCTCTTTACATACCTTTTCAACTCCGTTTTTAAACCGAGTATTTCTTCCTAAAAATAACAATACAATGTATGTAATATATTTAAATTATATTAATGACCCATGTTTTTGTTTAAATCTGTTAAACAACTCACAAATTTTGAGTCTTTGGTGCTAATACATAAATTCTGTTCAGATATAACCAACCTTCTGTTCCCAATTTGTATTTTCAAGTCCCGAAACTCTTTTATTCAAATCAGCAACATTTTCCAATAATTCTTGAATATCCCCTTTTGACACGTAATCACCTACGGGGTGAAAAGTTGTTCTCACCTGAATGAATGGGAAGGAAAATAATTTTTTTAAATTATTTGAGTTTGTTTGAACAGCTATCAGGCATACCCGGTTCCTGTACATTTGAACCCACGTACATTTGAACCCACGACAATTTCACCTGCATATATTGCACCTATGGAATTTTTTTTTTGTCCCGCGGATATACACATGGATTCAAATGTACGTGGGTTCAAAGTAAGGTCATGGCCATACCCAAATGGTTTTATTAAGAATTTCACGTTTTCTTTTTTGATAGGCGTACAGATAGATACGCCCATGTCACGGTATGTGCCAAATGACGTATATATACGTTCGTTGCACATAAAGTGTTAAAAATATAAAATTAAAAGTTATTATAAATTGCCGTATTTATTTGAGTATAACGCGCCTTCTGTAAAACGCGCTATACTACTATTTGATTGACAATTTTCAACTTTATCTGTATAAATATTACTGTTTTAATTTTCCGTAAGTCATTTTCAAATTTGAATCTTATTCATACAATCGAAAATGGTGGCGGTTGACCTCGATGGTCGTATCGCTCCATCCTGTCCATACCAAAACGATTTTATTGTTGTTACTTTTTTACTGCATTGAGGACTGTATTTTTTGGTGGCCAAATATTAAATCTCTCTCTCATTTTTACTTTATTATTATTATTTCATTAGTGAAAAAAAAATAGAATATAGAGAACTTACAGACGGTCCATCTTCACGGGATGTAATGCGTGGAAGAAATCCGATCCTGGGTATATCCGACATGGTCTATAAGCTATTTTTCAATCATGATGCACGATGGCCAGCTTTAAAAACAAAATATGTTTATTTAATTTTTCATACTCCAGGATCGCATTGTCGTATCGCTAGAAAGTCAGATGTCGTAATTTTTTTTAACAACTACACTACTAAAGGAAGGCATATTTCCTAAACATTGAGTTCGGGTGTCCGAAAAATTTAGCCGCGGAAAATTTCGCCGCATAGGAAAATTTGCCTCATGAAAAATCGCCGCAAGAGCATTTTGCTGTAAAACAAGTATTTGTGATAAAATCAGTCAAGTTTATACGGTTAGGCTATGCTCCTAAATAACAAATCTTTTTTAAATAAAAAGGTACTTAAAAAAACCTAACTGATTTTATGACGATGCGGCAGTTTTTCCTGTGTAGCGAATTTTCCGCGTCGAATTTTCCTAGAAGTATCACAAGGTATACGTCTCCCGACTAGTACGCTATCTTTGCAAAACTGTGTCTCATTCATGGCGGAGAATCATATTTATAGATACGTTACATTTTTTCTCTCTAAATTTTCGAATTGCGACATGAAAAGTAAAAATAAAAAGGCGCACAAATCTCTCTCTCTCTTTTATAACTTCCTATTCAAACCCTGTCACGAAACCAATTTTGAAATACAGCCATAGATTTGAAAAAAGAACGACTGTAGAACTTATGTCGCAATCAAAAAACTATTTTCATCTGTCGCTAGGGGTTACTTCTGCTTTCGTCCCACAACACGAAAGCTGTGCGCAAAATAGAATTTAGGAACTTTTCAATGCGGACTACTTACTTCATTTCCAAAAAGATTAACTTTTAAGGTTGTATGTAATTAGATCAAATGTATGAATTCATAGGTGTCTCGAAGTATTCTCCTAATCAAGACTGACCCCTATCATGGAGTGAATTCAATAACACACTTCCCTTTTTAATAATTAAGAATTAAATCACAATTTCTTGTTCAATTTTTAATGCATTGAAAGTGCACCTGCACTAATTTCAAAGAGTTTGGCAATATCGTGTAAATTTATTAGATACTTAACAATTTTTCTTTTCTTGAATTTCGAATTGCGACATGATTACAAAAGTATAACCTCGCGCATTACTTGGCGCATAACCTATCTTTTTCAAAGGGGTGTGCCTGGCGCAAAACGTATTTCGAAATACTACCTTGTATTTAAAAACGGAATGCAGAACTTATGTCATTGAAAGTGCACCTGCACTGATTTCAAAGAGTTTCGCAATATCGTGTAAATTTATTAGATACTTAACATTTTTTCTTTTCTTGAATTTCGAATTGCGACATGATTACAAAACTATAACCTCGCGCATAACCTCCCTTTTTCAAAGGGGCGCGCCTGGCGCAAACCATATTGCGAAATAGAAAAATAGATTGAAACATCGTGGAATGCAGAACTTATGTCGCAATCATGAGAATATTTTCATCTGTCGCTAGGGTTTACTTCTGCTTTTGTCCCACAACACAAAAGCTGTGCACAAAATAGAATTTAGGAACTTTTCAATGCGGACTACTTACTTCATTTCCAAAAAGATTAACTTTTAAGGTTGTATGTAATTAGATCAAATGTATGAATTTATAGCTGTCTCGAAGTCTTTTCCTAATCAAAACTGACCCCTATCATGGAGTGAATTCAATAACACACTTCCCTTTTTAATAATTAAGAATTAAATCACAATTTCTTGTTCTATATTCAATGCATTGAAAGTGCACCTGCACTAATTTCAAAGAGTTTCACAATATCGTGTAAATTTATTAGATACCTAACATTCTTTCTTTTCTTGAATTTCGAATTGCGACATGATTACAAAACTATAACCTCGCGCATAACCTCCCTTTTTCAAAGGGGCGCGCCTGGCGCAAACCATATTGCGAAATAGAAAAATAGATTGAAACATCGTGGAATGCAGAACTTATGTCGCAATCATGAGAATATTTTCATCTGTCGCTAGGGTTTACTTCTGCTTTTGTCCCACAACACAAAAGCTGTGCACAAAATAGAATTTAGGAACTTTTCAATGCGGACTACTTACTTCATTTCCAAAAAGATTAACTTTTAAGGTTGTATGTAATTAGATCAAATGTATGAATTTATAGCTGTCTCGAAGTCTTTTCCTAATCAAAACTGACCCCTATCATGGAGTGAATTCAATAACACACTTCCCTTTTTAATAATTAAGAATTAAATCACACTTTCTTGTTCTATATTTAATGCATTGAAAGTGCACCTGCACTAATTTCAAAGAGTTTCACAATATCGTGTAAATTTATTAGATACCTAACATTTTTTCTTTTCTTGAATTTCGAATTGCGACATGATTACAAAACTATAACCTCAGGCATTACCTGGCGCATAACCTCCCTTTTTCAAAGGGGTGTGCCTGGCGCAAAACATATTTCGAAATACTACCTTAGATTTAAAAACGGAATGCAGAACTTATGTTTGAATCGTAAAATTATTTCCGTCTCTCGCTGGGGGTTTCTTCTCTAAGCTGTATGCTATACAAGCGAACTGTTGAAAAACAATAATATATATATATGTGGTAAGTACACGACACTTCAAATGTTAAATTTTAAAATTCGCTTTGATTAAATGACTAACGAAAAACAACATTTCATTTGATGACAACAACAATATTAGCCCATATGTGTATCGGGGAATTTCCTTTATCAAAGCCCACCACGGAGTGAATTCAATAAAATACTTCCCTTTTTAATAATCAAAGTATAGGATTACGCTACACGACACTTCTTTGTTAAATATTTAAATTCGATATGATTGATGACTAGCAACAAAACAAAATTTTATTTGATGACAGCCCACAGGTGTCTCAGACAATTTCCTCAATCAAAGCCGACCCCTCAACGCGAAGTAAATTCAATAACATACTTCGCTTTTTTATAATTAAAATTAAAATTACACTTCCTTGTTTTATTTTTAGTGCATTGGAGGGCACTTGCGCTAATTTCAAAGATTTTCGCAAAATCGTGTAAATTTATCAAGTACACAACACTTTTTACATTTTTTGAATTTTGAATTGTCACATGATTAAAAAGTAACAACAATAAAACGGCGCATAACTATGTCGCACACAACCCCCCTTTTTCAAAGGGGCGCGTCTGGCGCAAAACATATTGCGAAATAGAAAGAATAGATTGAAACATCGTGGAATGCAGAACTTATGTCGCAATCATGAACATATTTTCATCTGGTGCTAGGGGTACTGATTTTGTCCCAACACGCAAAGGCTGTGCGCAAAATAGAATTGGGGAACTTCTCAATACGGAACTACTTTCATTTTAAAACAATTACATTCAATTAAGGATGTTTATAACCGTATCGAAAAATGATTTAAATTAATTGAACGTCTCCATTTTTAAAGGCAAAATTGTGTTGTATTAGGCTCCCTTGCTTCTTAAAAATATTATTTACCTATATCCGACAACTTTTCTAATACTCCAGAAGTATGTGAACCAAAATTGCGGAGACCGGAACGTAGAATGTGTATGCTACTACGTAACGGTGTCCGCCATGTTGGTACACATACTTCTGAAGCGCCGTGCAATATTATGTATAACATATAAATTTATATATTTTTGAAAATAGTCGGAGAACAATTTTTTTATATATTTAAACAGTTTCCTGATGAATCCTTATCCAATCTCCTTTTCTTGAAATTAACAATAAGCATCACCAATAAATCTGAAAGCCTGCCATTTTTTCAAAGTGGTGCAGGGGTGGGGATCGTACGATAAATTGAAAATCCTTCGCATAGCGACTAACAAAATCGCCAGTCAATCTCAAAACAACTATCGGGGTTTTATACAGATTTAATGGATTACCCAGCGGTAGCTTTCGACTTGTGTGTGTGCCCGAACATACGGTTTCTACATTTAGCCATAGATAACGTAGTAATAAATCGAGAAAAAAAGTTTGGAGTATATTATATATATATCTATAAAATTTTAAAAAAAATTACGAAATTTTGCGCTAACCTATAGACTAGAATAAATGCAATATTTGTATGTCAGAAAAGTAGACTATCCTGGCGGTACAGAACGCTCTTAAAAATAGAAAGGAATATTATATTATATAACATTTTTTCTTTTCTTGAATTTCGAATTGCGACATGATTATAAAAGTACAATGCAAAAGCGCCTGTAGCTCTCTCTCGCATTACTTCCGTAATAAATAAATAATAATAATAATAACTGTCAATACCCCCAACATGCCGAAGTACAATTCTAGCACATTCCATGGCTGCCAAAACAACATTAGAGCATGGGTGATTCGTTAACACGAGCCGACAGTATGCGTAGATTGACTACAATAACAACGGCTCACAGGCGTCCCTACTCTAGAATGACTTCTCTATTCATAGCCGACCCCTAACCAAATCGAGAAAGTGTCCGGCTATTTTAAAACTGATTAGACTCGTACCATAAACCGTGCGAGAAAATAGCGATGCATTGTTAATATAAATATGCTATTGTATTAATAATGACATACGATATCTAAAACAGGAAATCTGTTATCTGGATATTCCCCATTTTGAAACAGTCACAATTGAATCTATATATGATTTTAAGAATTTCTTGGGTTTTTAAATGAATTCGAAAACCTTAATTTAATTGTATTAAATAAGAATTTATTAAATGGTCTTCCTTTATATAATTATAACAACTGGTTGGTTAAATGAATTCAATAACATCACTTTACGTGTATTAAAATATCAATTTATAAAATTGGATTTCATTTTAATTATTATTTTCGAAGATTCAGTCAACAGCATCCAATGAAAAAAGTGGCTAACTTTCTGATTTTCTGCCTACACGGATGCACTAAAACATGAGTAACAATATATTTATTAGACACACAGACTTGAAATAAAAATAGAAAAATAAAATTTTGTTTGATAATAATAACAATATGACCCCTATCCCCAGACCGCGAAACCATTAGAAAAGGGAACAATAATCAATACAGTATAATATTCAGATCTTTAAATGCAGAACTTATGTGTTATTGTCTCGTGACACAATAGCTCTGCATATAGCGAAACATTGTAAATGTGTATGGCATTTCAACGTGCAATTGTATTGGTAATTGTGTAGGATTACAGAAGCAGGGGAGCAAACAAAAATGTAAGCAAGGTTAAAAAAACGAGAGAAGGTTAAGATGAAAAACTGGGAAACCATAAAATGCTATACACTGTTACAATATTGTTATATATTTCGTGTTAAATGTGAACATTGTTTGCGGAAATGAAATTCTCTCTCTCAGTTCATCATAGAAGCAGAAGACAATACTGGCATGTCATGTAACATCTGTGTTCGAAGAACCGAAAGGGTTAAGCCTGTTATGTGTTCTCGTGGCGGCGTCACTGGCAGCGAGGTAATGCCTCCATTGATGTTGTTCCCATTCTCAGAGGCAGCCTTGCTTGCTGTTGCTGTTGCAGCCCGTTGCCGCATTTGCGTATATGCGGTCATTGCGGTGTGCAGAAGGAAAACACAGATACGATCACGGTAGGTGTTGTGTGAAATGTAATGCTAATTTTTCATGTGTGTATTGCTAATAAAATAATTTGAATACACTAGTGTGATTATCCTCTTTCTAGAAATTTGTGTACAATTTAGCAATTGATTCTTTACTTACTGAAAAAATAATCATTGAATTGAAGTTAACGAACAACGAAGTTAAAAGTTAGCCTGTTTGATAAACTTTGCAGTATTTCATGTCAGCAGTTCCAGAATTCAGTCAGATTCAGATATTTATTCTCACCATAGTCTATACTGTCATTCGAAAAGTATATAGGGCAATTGCGCAGAAAGAACAAGAGAACTATGCTCAAATATATGGACATGTAGCGTCACATAATGTTGATGACATCATAGCAAAAAATAAAAGTAATAACTGGAGAAAAAATCCATCTTTAACTAGGGATGGGCCGGGATTCGGATTCGAGTCGAATCCAGTCTTTTTTTGGACTCTGATTCAATTTCGAGTCCACGTCGTTTTTACAGAGTCTATAATCAATTCTGTTTACTAATTTATGCCTATGTTTGTACTTTTACCCCTATAATCTCACTACATACCTTAACTAGTTGTAATTCAAGGATGGATATGTAACAATATCACTCGTGTGTATTATAAACATTCCTGATAAAAACGACGACAGATATCCAGATAATATAACGCAAGTTAAAAACTATTGATAGCTTATAACAATGATGCGCCAGTCGCCTTCAAACTATCTTTTTTGGTATACATGTGGTGCACAATAAAATATATGTTAGCGCAATATTTTTGAGTTTTCGATTCGCGTAAATAAATATGAAACATGAGCAGAGATTCAGAACGTTTACATGAACTACTAAATTGCTAGCATTGTCTTGACGACGAGTGGCATCTCTCTACCATTTGCGCACGCGACATAGTAAATTTAAGGCTAGAAATATCTGGAATTATGGGAAAGCATTGTAGTCAAAAGCTTTTTATTTTTCATATTGACATGTAAGAATTTCTAAATAGCCGCCCAGAATTGACGCAAAGTGATAGGCTGGAAATTCAGTTCACAGCCAACGCGCACAATGATCCACGTTTAAGTTTGTATTATGGCCGCCAAAAAGAAGAAAAATATATTTTTAAATTGATTCAACAGCTATCTGGGGAACCATTAATGAAAAAATATGAGCTACGACGCATGTTTGTGAGCGTGCGATGCTGTAGTATGGTCAAAAACGTGTTTTTTTACTTTTTACATTGTGACGTCACGGACTCGGAGGATTCGATTCGAGTCCTTGACCTATTACTCGGATTCGTCGGATCTCTGTAATGCCGGACTCGTCCCATCCCTATCTTCAACCATGAACTTGATGGTTTAGGTAGCCATAACCAACCAGCGGTTACATGAACTGCCCTACAACCCCATGGTGGTGTATGCATCACATAGGCTGAGAGATTTTATGTTTACCACTGAAAATAATAAGAATTTCATAATTCTGTGATCCTAGATATTACAGCAAGCCTGTTACTAATGCTTCGCATGATACTCCTACTACTGGGCCTTATCAGGGAGGTTTATCAGGGAGGTTAATTCAAAAGTTTTGCACTGGGTGAGCTGGTAACAATATGAAAATAAATATCATTTCACTGAAATGTAAAATAGTAACAAGACAGATCAGACTGTTTCATGAGCAGGCAAATTATTCTTCAGTTCTTAAAACCTTGTACCTGCGGTATGGCACACTTTATAGATTGTTTATGACATTGTCTCGTTCCAGAGAACCACGTTTTACCGATGAACAGACACCCCGGGGACGTCTGAACATTGTTGTCCCTCAATATCTGTAAAAATACAGTAAAATGAAGTTGCGCAATAAACTGAAAATAGGCACAGTCTAAAAACGTCATCATTGAATTTCTCTTGCAAAGATAATCCTATTTTCTGAAGAAAAAGAATATTTACCGTGGCATTCTAGAGTTTTTAACAATTTTGATCATGTGACGGTCGCGATTCATTTAGATTATTATCGAGACTTGATAATTTGTTAATTCATAACTCAATCAGGTCGGACCAAGGTCAACTTTCTGAGACATTTGAACTATGCATGTCTTAAGAAGTCTGACCTTGATCGGACAAAATGTTACAGAAATATATATTTGTGTTAGTGTGCAGCAAGACTAATCACTTCAAAGATAGTTATCTTTACTCTTGCTACAGTATCTTTGCAATATATGCATACGGATCCACAGGCGCAAAAGCATAGAAGACAGATATAATTAGTCTCGTAGAAACCCAATCGATGTCTTTTGAAATCCTACATAGTATTTTTCTTTACAGATTACATTCTGACACATTGAGGCACAGCAATTTTTATTTATATAAAATTCAAATCAATATTGAAATCGAAAAGACATTTATATCAGAATACGATCAGATATAATAGCATAGATAGCCAAGATAAAACAGACCAAGTCCTTCCATCTCTACTTTTTAAGTATTAAGATCAATGCAATTTACTTTAGTTGAGTTAAATAAATAGCAAAACATCAACTCAAAGGACTATTTCTCAAATTGATAGTGAGACAAACTTAGTTTAACTCATTAAGTTATCTGGAGTGACACAAATGCACTACTCTGGTATTTGTGTGTTATGAATCAAAGGTACAAACAACTTAATGAATTTATTAAATTGACTTTACAATTCCTTGTGATCTTTACTGTCTGAAGAAGTTAAGACTATGATTTTAAGGAAGCACACAAATATACCTATTTCATGAAATGAGATTATACAGTTTTTATTACAATATTTAAACTTATTCATATTGAACAGTGGTTCTCAAACGGTTGGGCGCGGCTCACAAGGGGTTGTAGGCAATATTTTTGAGTGGGCGTGATGCTAATAAAAAAAAAGATATTTGTTAGATTTTATATTGCCCACCTTATTTTATTTCATTATTTACGTTCCATCCAAGTATTTTCAACGTGGTTTTTCGATAAAGTATACTTTTGCTTTTTGAGGTGGCGAGACTTGACAAATTCTAAAAATTGGGCGCGGCCTAAAAAGTTTTAGAACCACTAATATAGAACAAATATCACACGAATGAGTCAATCTGGATTATATATTTGGAAGGAATAATTTTTGAACTTGAGGCATAAATGTATATATACAAAATTAAACATGATTGTTTGTAACGAACGATCTTCGTAACTCAGTGTATCTTCATGCAGACTCAATTTAAATGAGTTTCAAGTAAAATTATCTTTAGTTGAGTTCCGATGAAAAATGTGACCTTTTTCGATAGTGTTACGTGTTTGCGACAGTGCTGGGGTGCTGAGGTATTTGAATCAGGGGCCAAAAAATTTGCTTACCTATACTGGCAGGCCATGTAAAAATTACCGTAGCTGTTAATCTTCAGAAATTAGAGTGCAAAAAATGCAGCAACAAATTTTTAGAAACTATCGGGAAACGATTGACAAAATTTAATGGCAAGATTGCTAAAGTAAGAAAAAAGGAGTGCGTTAAGAGTGCATTATGTGGAAGTTGACAAAACTTTGAATTTACTTTATTGAACATAGAGGTTGTGCATGACCGCACATTACTAGCACATGAGGAGAAAAAAGGGTGTAAAAAGCATGCCTTAGAATAGAGTAAGCAAGAAAACGTGAAGTTTTATTAACGTTCCTATAACATGAAAATTAATCTAGCAAGCCTATTGCACCATACAGATTTCAATAATAACAACTATATGCAGTACATGCAGAATTAGTTAAAAGCAGAAATTTAGAAATTTATTGCAGCATTAGGCGGGCCGGATTGAATCACCCAACGAACAGGATTTGACCTGCGGGCCTTAGTTTGCACATGTCAAGTTTAGAGTCATCTAGATTGAAGTGAATCGAACTCAACTCATTTCCAGCAAGTCCAACTCATTGATTGCCTGACTTGACCCTTGAGTTTTAAGAGCCAAACACGGACTAGTAACTAGTATTAGACTTTCCATATCACCACAGATTTAACCTGTATAGGCGAGAAAGATTTTACAAATACAAGTGGTCTCAAAAGCACATGGTAATGCATACTGGACCTCATTCTTGTGAAATATAGGACAAATATTTTGTCAGAAGAAGTGATTTAGCCTGCATGGCTTGAATTCTTGTGTGAACATATTGATAAAAGGGTAGAAGTGAGCACTGTCTGTCTAACTAAATGCATATAAATTCCTGAAACAATCAATCTATTTCCATAACAGTCATAGATTTTTTAACTACAGGAAAGGCAATGTTTACTTTATGATAAAAGTGGGCACTAATAGCTTATTGGATAAAGTGTTGGAATAAACTGTCGGCATTGCAATTTACACAGCCTTGGTTTTAATCCCATGCTTACCACCTACCACCCACAGTTTTATGAATTAGATGGGTGATGCCGACAGCGACTGCTTGCAGGGGTATAGCCAGGAATTTTTGGAAATGAGGTTCTGAAATTTCTAATTGCCAGGTAAGAGCCTAACAGCTAGTGGGTCCGGCTGAAAACAAAGATTTTCAAGAGTTGTTTCAAGCTACGAAAAATTGCTATGTATGATACAGAAAAACTTTTTTTGGGGCTCCCGAAGTATTCAAACCAAGATGGCGGACATCGGAATGTAATATGTGTACTAGGTTAGGGTTAGGCCATAATTTTAGGTATAAATACTACGGGAGGCTCTTGTCGAACTGATAATATGACTAAAATTGGAAAAAAATTATCGCCTAACCCTAACCTGTTACCCATGTTACGTTCCGATGTCCGCCATCTTGGTTCGCATACTTCGGGAGCACCCTTTTTTTATATTTCAAGAAGGGGTCCGTCCCCAAACCCCTCCTCTACGCCCATGACTTTTTGTACAGGGATCAGATTGAAAGATGTTTGAAAAAGCCTCACTTAATGAAAGGGGCAACCTATCAGCTTTCCACTTGTGTTAAATATTATTCATATTAAACTGAATATCGGGCTGAATTATTAGAACGAAAGAACGAAGAAGGAGAGTTGATGTTTTTTGTCATATTTACAAACTTCAAATGGCATAAAGTACACATTAATGATTACAAAATTAATTTATTTTAGAAAGCAGTAATTTTTCATGTCAATGCAGCGTCAGTTTTTTTCCCGATAATTTGGGGCTGCACAAACAAAAAGTTTGGAAACCATTGTCGTATTATATTTTAAGAATCCTATACCTAAATAGTGGGAAGTATAAATTGATTAGTCCATTTATTACGGTGAAGTTTACCTGTCATTCTAACAACAAGATATCAGAAAAAGGATCTAAATGTACACTACACACTCAAAAATAATAGTTGTTACCAGACCTAACTTGTTCTGACCTGAGTAAACAAATAGTGGGGCAATAATAGCACAGTGCCACAATTTCATTTGAACGTGCTTCAATTAACTAAGACTTTTAACAGTAATTTTCGAACATGGTTCCACAAGTTGCCATTAGAATCTGAAAGTCTGTTTTACTATATGTATATTTTTTAAGGGTGCTCCAGAAGTATGTGCACCAAGATGGCGAACACCAGAGCGTCATATGTGTGCCAGGTTGGGACATAATTTTATTACAATTTGCCTTGTTTAGTTATATTACGAGTTCGGGGAATAGCCAAGTGACTTTCATGGTATTTGTACCTAAAATTATGGCCTGACCGTAACCTTGTCACATACAACGTTCTGGTGTCTGCCATCTTTGTGCACATACTTCTGCAGTACCGGTACCCTCTTAGTATATTTCAATGGGGCTGAAAACTACTAGATAAGATTAAGAAGTAGCATTGTGTTTTATTTTGGCATCACTGTCTGTGTCTTCTTTATAGCTCAATATGGCTGGAGTAGAAATTTTTTCTAGAATATCGTTCTCGGTTTGATATATATTTTCAGTTTTACGTTTTTGTTTTTCGAGAATTTCTAGCAAAGCTTCTTTTGTTGTGGCAACAGTTGTCATACCTGCGGCTCTGTTGCTAAGCGACCTTATTTTCATTTGTTCATAGACATGCTTCGCTGGATCAGATAATTGTCTCTGTGTGACTGGACCTTTTATACTGATATTTGAGTAACTTTTACTTGATCTCAACTCTGAAAATTTGATCTTTCTCTTGCCTTGCATGTTTTCTTCAATCTGATGATAGGGATGGTGGCGTTGTGGAGTTATTTTATTCATCATATTCATTGTAGTGTATGTTGATGATTTCTGTTTGCTTCGAGTTAGCTTCCGTTCATCGATAGTTGATTTTTGAAGATATAAATTATGTGTCATTATCACACTCTCATCTGAAGATGATCTCTTTACTTGTAGTCCGCTACACACTTCAAAAGTCAGGTAGCCCTTTGGTGTTTCAAATTCCATTGGAGTTTCATAAGGCCCCGAGACTGTGGAAACTTGCCTATTTATTTTTGTTGTTTCTGTGTTTTTCCCCATCTTAATATTGGGGAAAGGGATGTGAGGGGCAGTTCCACGAGGCCATTGGTTAAATATTCTAACTGTTTCGAGTTGTTGGCTTTTGCTCGGGATTGATACCGGTAGTTCGTTTTGGAAGTTTTGTTGAGTTGGAAGGTTGGGTATTGAAGCAATATCCGCATTGCTTATATAAGGTGAACTTGATCTTTTCTTTCCATGCGTTTCCATTTGGAAAGTTGGGTTAGAATGACTCTGATCACTTCCTGCTTGTGATGAGTTGCTAAGGAGACATCCATGTCTAAATAAAAAAGCATTGAGATTAACATAGTGGTATAGGCACGAAAATTTACATCTGGTTGTAATCTGTGAGCCATTCATTCTGAATCTGGATTGGCAACACTTTTGTCTCTAGCTTTGAAGAGGATTTTAACTTTTACTCCCAATTCTAAGACGACATAGATTTTGATAGATGAGTTTTTTGTGTATGCAATCTTTTTTAATTTTTCGATGATATTTGAGTTTCTGTTAAAAATTTTGTCCACCGCTGACACTAATGATGCTATTCATCTCATTATTTTAAGTTTTTAATAGAACTCAAAACTGTAAATCTGATTCAGAATTTCTTTTGATTAAAAAAAATAACAGCTCTGACTATATAAGAAATATATAGGCTACCAATTCCATGCTTTTTGAAATTTCATATACAATTCTTTGGCAATGGCATGTCTTTCTTGGTTTCGGTCAAAATAAGATTTGAGCCTGAGTTGTTCAAAATTTTAGCTCTGTTTCTGTATTTGGTCATTTGTAAATATGACCCTGGTTCCAACTTCAATTGCAGCAAAAATCAGGGTGCTTCTGAAGTATGGGTACGAATATGAAAGTGACTAATTTTGTTCGCCTATTTTACATCAAGTTGTGTAAAGGGACTGAGGGCTATTGGCAGGGGGTATAATTGCTTGTCTAACACAGACAGTCTCCGAACTTGTAATAGAACTAAAATTAGGAAAATCTATATAAAATTATGGCCTATCCCTAACCCGGTACACATACTACGGGAGTACCAAAAATCAGAGTGACATTCTCCCACTGCACAGTCCTAGTGATATTTCATGGGTAATTAAGTTTTCTCACCTTTTCTTGTTTTTTCGTAGGAAAACTGTGGTCAGTATAATCAAGAATAGGGTAATTATCCCCACTAGAGGCAGTATAATATTCCAATATTGCTGTATTTTGGTTTTTGGAGGTTCCGGATCTGGTGTTTTAAAAAAATGTGTGCATTTACTACAATGTTAACAAAAGGTGCCACTGCGCTAACCATTACTGGTTTATCAAGTCTTCCGTCACAGTGAATCCTTTTTTTTATATTTTTCTTTATAATGTGTATTTTCAGCATGTTTATAAATAAACTACTGACTGATTCGGTAAAGCAATGCTCAAATACATATTTATATGGCACTGGATGAGTGAATGGCACAGCGGTGTGTGAATTGATTGATTGGTTGGACTCCTCGCCGCCTTTGGGTGATTCACATAAACGCTGGTCGGTTATGGCTTTCCCACCATCAAGTACATGCTTCCGGAAACAAATAACTAACTAATCACATACCCGACATGGAATGGTAAATATCATAAATATCCTATCCTTGATTATAATTTCTCATTTTATAGGTGGACATTAATGAGAAATGCAGAAAGTTTATAGAAGTAAATATGAATAAACTTCCATTACTTGTCTCCCCATTCATTCCTGGAGGGCCTTGGGCCAGTGCTGGTAAATTCCCACAAATGTAATCGGCCTTTGCGTCTTTTCTTTCCCAAGTTGCGATGAAATTGAACCCATCAAATTTCATTATTGCATGATATCTTTGATCTTGTTTTGCATCCACAGGAGTTTCTGGTATAATTTTGAATGGAAGATCTGAATAGAAAAAATTATGAATTTATTCCATTAGAATGTGCCAACTTATTTTTGTTGACATTGCACAAGGCAGGTTTATCAGTTGGAGTCTTGTTTTCATTACAATATTTCTCATATCAAGTTCATGCTCTCGCCATATGATTAAATCGTCTTATTAACTTTCCTCTCCCCCAGATAAATATGTAAATCATATCCTGCATTATCAATTTGCAAGCAAAATGCATATTAGAACAGTAAAAAAAACAGGTTTAGTAAACAAATGCTAATAATGGTACTCCTATAGTATGTGTACCAGGTCAGGGTTATACCATACCTTGCCTATAGGTTCCAGTTTCTTTACACAACTTGATGTAAAGTAGGACGAACAAAATTAGTTATCTTCATATTGGTATTCACACTTTTGGAGCCCTAGTAATATCTAAGTCTTACAAAAGTTTCCCTGAATTCTTAGAACTTCGCCTACTCATTTCTGAGTCAGATTTTCATTTCCTTTACGACCTATCATTTCTTTGAATTTGTATTTATGCGAATCCTTACTTCACCTTATGATTATTGTGCTTTCCACAGTTCAACATATAAATTGACGCAATTTTTATCACTTCAGTTCAAAGAATTATCTACTCAGTTTGACTATAAATATATCACGACAATTTTCCAGTTATTATAAACCAGTCATCAATTGCAATGAAAGGAAACAAAAAAACGATACCATTCTTAAAATTTCGAAACCTACAATTTAACGTATAAATTGACATCATTTCGATGACTTTTGTATTTACAATATCATTTAGTCACAGTTTGACTAGAAGACACTTCTTCACGAGTCATCAATTGCAATAAATAGATATAAAAGTGATACCCGTTCTTAAAATTTTGAATCTCATAACTGCATGTAACTAAGCGTCCGTGGCTCTCAACTCGGGATTGACCCGACGCAAGACTCTTAAGACCTGTTACTTGACTTGACTCTGGTTTGGGGACTGTTACCGAAGTTGGGCAACTCAGTGAATGGGTTACTTACACTGCAGATGACAATTAGTGTTATATTTCAAAATTGTATTAGATTGATGTAATGTGTGCCATGTTAATGCAGCTTACATAGTAACATACGCACGTTTTCTGATCTGCTGGAACCCATTGTTAGAGAGTTTGGTACGAGAGAAAACCTGTTCTTAAATTGATTCACACCTCTGCTCGTGCTCAACTACCCACTAGTGGCTCTCAAATTGACTCGACTCGCAGCAATGATTTTACGTGACTCAAGTTTCTACCCAACTTTGGTATATTACGAATCCCTATTGTTATTTATCATACCCTTAACATCCGCTAATAATTCTTTGTAAATGCCATGATTCCAAGCTGAAATATTGTTTCTCCATGTAAGTCCAATCCATACAGTGCAAGGCAAATGGTTACTTGAGCTCTCCCTGTAAAATATTTTAACAAGAATATCCTTTCACTTTCAGTGTACCTTGCAGACCAGGGTTGGGCAAGCTTTTTGAACTAGAGACCAAAAATTTTGCTCAAGGAGACTCGCCATGTAAGTGTGACGTGAAAAGTCACAGTTAGGTTTGAATCCCATGCGAGGATGGTTATGTGCGAGTGGATGGCTCGACTCCTTGCTACCATAGGGGGAACCACTGGTCGGTTGCAGCTTTCTCCCCCATCAAGTCCATGCTTTCGAAAACAATTGACTAACTAATTCATGTGGCACAGAATGGTAACCGGGCGAGAGCCCATGGTTTGCCATATGGTTAAGTTGTCTTATCGGCTTTCATCTCCCCCATGAAAAAATATGTAAATCTTATTCTAATAAGTATATTCATAAGGACAAACCTTTATGACCAGTTATCAGTCCAAGTTAGAAATGTGAATATATTTAACCAAAGCATGATGGATTCAAAAACTTGTACTCGCGAAGTATGCGTGTGCCAGGTTATGGTTAAGCCATAATTTTATTCCAATTTTCCTTTGTGATTAGTTGTTTTACGAGCTCGGGGACTGTCAGTGTTGGCCCCTGTCCATAGGCTTACCTCCATATTGGTACTGGTCTATTATTATATTATTTTTTTAACTGACTATTGATCTTTACCAAGAAGTTAGACTATGATGTAATGAAAGCTCATAAATTAACTTACTACTTAGTGGAAAGAGATTATATTATTCATATTTAAACAAAATGGTGCTTATACTTTAGGAGCGCCCAAAAACTTGTTATGTTGAAAACATTAAATAATTCTTACCATTTTTCTCTCAGATATTCCACAGTGGCTTCTACGTCCTTCAAGGTTTTTGGTGACAACAGACTGAGTTTATGAGATTTCATGCAATGGGTTTTTGTGTCCCAGTAAATTTTCGAAGTCTGACCGGCGTATGCTTCAATAAGAAGAAACAAAAGTTAAAGTAACGTAGAGGTTGCTACGATTGAAAGTAAAGTTGATATATGCAGGGATGACCAAAACTGAACAATAAACAATTCTGGTTCTCAAACCTTTCAAGTTTCAATTTGTCAAGTTTCGTGGCCCACCTCAAAAATAACTAGTTAACAATAAGCTGCAAATCAGATAGTAATCAGAATGTTTTATTCAAAAAAACATTGAAAATATGTGAATGGAACATAAATATCTCAAATAAAGAACTGTAAATATTCAGAATAAAGCAGGCAAGATCAAATCTAACAAATATTTTTATTTTTCATTAGATTCACGCCCTCTCAAAATTATCTATGCCCACCTTGTTGGGCTGTTTGAAAACCACTGGTTCAAGTCATTTCAGTGAGGTAACCTGAGTATCAGATAAATGGTGAGTCAGGATGAGTCAATGGCTTGAAAATAGCCCACAGGTCTAATATCATGAAAAACCTGTCTTATTGATTTTTTCAAATTAGTCATGTCCTACCTTTTAAGTGCCGCAGGCCACTTTTACACGAAGAAACTTATTGCGGGCTCAAACTTAATGAATATATATATCAGTACAGATTTACGTTAGAATATGGGCGTCATTAAATTAAACGCTTGGATTGCACAAAGATATTGCGAATATCTTAACACAATATGCATGCATTTTTACGCAGTGACTAAATTTTAGAAGTTTTATTTATCATGAAAATAACATACACACGAGAGCAAAATACAAACACAAAAACAGAGTATACCGTAATTTACTCAATTTTTATGTGAGGGGTCAACTGTGGCTCGAATTTGTGGGAAACATCGGGTTAAGTTTGGTTTATTCAAAAACACTGCGTGAGCCAGGTTGGGCGACCCTACTTTAAATGGAAAATATCAGTAATATAGTATCCAAACTATAGCCAGAACATACGGTTTATGTTGCGACTTATCATTTAAAACTTATTTCGATGATTGAACAAATTGTGATATGCAATCCAGGTTTATCAGTCATAGTAACTAAAGACTTGTGTTTATTTCAACACTGGTATCACTGGTTTGCTATGTAACTGAACTAGAGCTAAGATCAGAAAAATGTGTCCCAACATTCCCCACTTTTCCCTATACTATACTAAACTCTTGCAATGACAATTTGAAGAACTTCTAAATAAAATATGAAATTTTGTTTGCTTCGGGCACCGGTCGGGCCTTCAAATACAGTTAATTAGTCGGGGATGGGTCGGGTTTAACACCCACGGGCCCGTGTTGGGTCGGTCTGGGATTTTTGGGCCCGATCTTACCTCTAAACTGAACATCTTATCAGCTTTCCTCACCCTTTTAGCAAATAAGAATCAAATTCAATATTTCAAATACCTGCATTTGTTGTACATATATAAGACAAGTTTTTCTTGCAATTTGTAAGGTGAGGGGCAAATTTGAATGATGTTTTGTACAGGGCATTGCATTTCTTATTTGGTGCTGTGAGCTGAAAAAAATAATGATTTTAGGATTCTCTCATAAAGGCGATTATTGTATTTCCCGGTGAATAAGTTTACTCGGTGAATAAGATGAAATCTATTTTTAATAAACGAGAGTTTTTCCATATAGTCCTCCAATAAGACAGGGCTAAAAAATTGCTTCTCTGTTGGTCAGTTAAGCACTAATATGTATCAATTATTTTATATAGTTAGAACCAGGTCAAATTTGTTTCAGGTGGAATAATACTCACATCATTAATTCTTAACAATAAAACGATAATTCCAAGCCCCAGAAAAAATAAAGTAAGCATACCTGCCCAATATGACGGACCCCCCTAAATCAGAGCAAAAATTTGGGGTCCAGAAAATCGACTTAATCGCCGAGAAATACAGTATATTTTATTTTCTGTGTATTTTTATTATAATCTACCTAAAGTAATGTCAGCTGTATGGGTGAGCGTTCTAGAATATCCGATGATTTCAGAATCGAATATTTTTTCGAATCGAATCTCGAATACTTGGGAGTCGATGAGAGATATGTAATTGTATGCAATTTTTTTCATTGTAATTAGTCCTGTCAACAAATTAATTACTGGACACATGGACTACATCACTAAGACAGATTGCTGAGCGTCCACATACAATACAAAACGCTTATTTATCAATAACTCACTACAGAACATAATCATATGTCAGAATTGCATTGAAAAATTTGTGTAAAGGGACTGAAACCTATGGGCAAGGAGTATATTCACTTGGCTAACACGCACAGTCCTTGAACTCTCAATAGAACTAAAACACGGAAAATCGGATACTTGGAGAGAATCGAACTAGGTACTAGGAAGCACAGGCAGGTGTTAAAAGAGTCTTCATAGAAGTCACAAATTATGAAAATTCATTATGAAAAATCCTGGTTTAAATTATTTACCTTATTAGAAATATCTTGTCCCACGCCTGTTTTTGAGTATGTCCAATATAACCTTTCACCTTCCAACTTTGATCTTCTGAGATATTTATCTTGAGGAATGTCTGCTATGTTTCCACCAAGCGAAGTACAAAATCTCATAGCTTCCTGTAGAAAATTTTTTTCAAATTTATTCAAGGTTGAATTTATTTGATACACTGTTAGGGAAATTTGAGTCTTTGACTCATCACAAGATGGCCCATTTATGTGTGACTATCTAAATAAACCTTAGCTTTTAATGTGTTATTGTGTCTGCACCTATTAGAGACCTATGATAAATGAAGGTGCGACCCACAGGTGCATCGAATTATTTGTATCTGACCCTCGTCTATTAAAAATTGCACACCCATAGGTGATTGGGCTACCATGGTGTGCGATCTTAGTGATTATAGTTGGGTCAGAAACTGAATTCTATAAGAATGTCTTCATGAGATTAAACTAGTCGGGCCATTTTGGTTTTTCGCATTAATCAAGTGAGATCAGATCCCAAAGTAGAACCGATGATTGTTTGTAACTTTTCAATATTACTTTAACAACTTTTATGCATACTTGATTTATGGACGCTCCAGAAGTATGTGTACCAATATGGAGGTAACTAATTTTGTTCGCCCACTTTGCATCAAGTTGTGTAAAGGGACGGAAACGTATGGGCGGGGGGTCAATTCACTTGGCTAACACAGAAAGTCCCCGAACTTGACTAGAACTAAAATAAGGAAAACCGTAATAATAATATGATCTAACCCTAACCTGGTACTTATACTTCAGGAGTACCCATATATAATTATTTTGTATAAAATTCAAAATTTAAACTAAACATAGACTATTTGTTCAGACTTGTATCAAGTTTTCTTACCTCATAACTTGCCTTTTCCTTTGCTAAATGATAGCATGTTCCTTCTCTTCCTTTCACCAGAAGACTCGTGGCTGATGTTGACGTATGACAAATTCTTATGTCTGTATCATTCTGTGCGTTCGCCACAAGAATCATCGTTGACCACATTATCATTGTATAAGTCAAGACTTGAGGTATGATTTTATTTTTCATGTTTTATGTTTCTTTGAGGTAAAAATTTGAATTGAACTAGAAGGGGTGGATTGAACAATAACCGCAGAGCTAAAAATAAAGTTTTTTAACCACTTATGATAGAATAGTTTAGGCTGGGCCAAGGTGCAACCTACATCTGATTGATTGCTTTGTGCTAGGTAAATATGCAGAGCTGACTTTGACTTTGCGCCCTACCAAAATATTGCTTATATATGGCCCCATACATAGCGAGTTTGTTGACGTGAATTTTAACGAAAAACTCTGTCGCCCTCGGTTATTACTCACATGGGTGACCGGCTTGGAGTACCAGAGTTCGAATCCTATTTTTCTTTTCGCAAATTTTTAACCATTCAATAATTTCAATCCGAGTGTTTTTGATCAGGAATAACAAAATTTTTAGAATACAGTCTGAATTCAGTTCGAAAAGGTGACTGCGTATTGAAAATTGTTAATCTCACTTTAGGGCAGTGTTGGCAGAAGTCTTATATTCTGTGTGCTGAGCAGTGTTCCCTCTCAAAATTTTTTACAAATGTTTGTTCTAGTGAACATGAATGTTTTAGGCTTAATCAGCAGAGTCCTGAATGATTTACAAACTTGTGAAATATTACGATAGTATAATATATTATCAGAATGTAAACGAATTACACATTTAAATGTGATAGTTCCTCCTTGCATGTTTATTGCTGAAACTTGATATTTAGCTGATTCATTTTTAGACAGGATATGGAGATTTTACTGCATAAATGTTCTGGTGGTACTGCACAAGCGCACCTTAAAATGAACCATGGTGCAGTGTCATGGGTCATCAAAGTTTCGAGTCTAGTAAATTTCACTGGCGAGTTGATAAATCCAAGTCATTCCAATAAAACGCCTCAAATTGTATAACCACTTCATCCTATCAGCTTTTTCTCTTCATACTAAACATTCTATTCTATTATCTGAAAAGTCATAAATGACAATTTTTTCTTCATTTTTGCTCGTCTGTTCTAGCCTTTGCTGTGGTTCTACAGTATCTGCTTTGAATATAGCACAATTTTGTTCAACTTCATATCTTTTGATGTCTTACACGTCTTGTAACTAACTTTGCTCTTTTATAATCATGAACTATTTCAACAAGTACTAATTCACTGTTGAAGATTTCATCACAGTTCTGTTCTATATATGGTTTTTCCCAGAGATCATGGGTATTGAGAATAGGAATTTTTTCCCTTTATTGTGTCATCTCTGTATATGGATGTGTGAGTCTAAATCTTGCCAAGCATAGCTTGTATATAAATCGATACTTTTGTCTCTCTGAGACATTTCTGTCTCAACCTAACTAGCTATGACTCTTCTAAGGAGTATGACTTGTGTATTGTGTGCTTCAGGTGACTTTTCCTATTTCTTATTCCTATGTTCGTCATCGGTTCTGGTACTTTTCATAAACAAAAATAAATTCTGAGCGTAATAGCTATTTTAGAACTGGAATGGCATATACCTGTAATTCATTTTGATCTGGTACATTCGAGTAATTCCAATCCATTTCCATTGCAAAGCGTTTATTAAGATTTTAAGATTGGCATGATTTTTAAATTAGTGGGTCTGGCCATGCTGGGATGTATGTAGCCAGGAAATTGTTAAGGGGGGGTTCTGAAAATGTTATTTCCCAAGTTAGATTGAAAGAGTTTGCGCCTGGAATACGCATGTTTTTATTAGTCTTGAGGGTCTAAAAAGCGTTTCGAGCTACGAAAAATTGCTGTGTATGATACAGAAAGATGATTTTATTGCAAAAAGGGGGGGGGGGGCTTTTAATGATTCCAACCACCTCACTATCCCTCGGAAGAAATTCCATCACCCCCCTCCTTTTAGTGATTCCAACCACTATCCGTCGGAAGAAATTTCATCCACTTCTTCCTTTTAGTTTTCAGCCTTTTATTGTTTTTCAATTTTTCCACTTTTGTCTCTGCTTTTGTTGATTGTAATAGCGATCTTCTCTAACAAAATAATATTGAAAAAATGACAAAATAAGTCATGTTCGTTGACAAATCAATCACAATGATCAAGCCTTATCTTCTATCTCATATTGTTAATAAACGAACCTTGCGCACTCGAGCCCACATGTCCAGAAAGTGCTGGAAGCCAGTGGGATGCGCATACTACCTAGCCCTGTTAGGGAGGTCATTGGATGACAGGACTTGGTTCACAATCTTGTGGCATCCTTTTGTCATCGCCTGACAATCCAAGTATCTTTCTTTTTAAGATGAAAAATCAGCTTATCTGGCAACTGGGTGACGGTAAATCTCCAAAATACATATTGATATCATACATAGTATCTTTCTTTTCAGATTACATTCTGACACATTGAGGCACTGCTATTTTTATTTATATAAAATACAAATCAATATTGAAAGACATTTAAATCAGAATACGATCATATAAATTAGCATAGATAACCAAGATAAACCAGACAAAATTCTTTCATCTCTACTTTTAAGTATTAAGATAAATGCAACTTACTAGTTAGGTTGAATAAATTTTGAAACATCAACTCCAAATGCCAAACAAGTACTATTCTACAAATAGATAGTGAGATGAACTTTAAGTTTTAACTCTGATTAAGTCATCTGGAGTGACACAAATTCAAAACTCTGGTATTTGTGGGTTATGAATCAAAGGTAACACTACTTAATGAATTTATTAAATTTAGACATTTTTTTGAGCGGGCGTGAAGCTATTTAAAATAAAAATATTTGTTATATATTGTCTTGTCCACCTCATTTTGGGGTCGTAAAGCTAATTAAAATAAAAACATTCGTTAGATTTGAGCCTGCCTGCCTTATTTTGGATATTTAAATTTATTTCATTAATTACGTTTCAATGTGTTTTTGAATAAAGCATATTTCGCCTTGCCATCTGTTATTTGCGGCATATTGTTAGCTAGTTATTATTGAGGTGGGGTGTGAGTTGACAAATTCTAAAAATGGGGGCACCGCCTAAAAAGTTCAGTAACCTCTGATATGAAATAGGAATCAAACCAATGAGGTAATCTGGATTATATATTCAGAAGAAATAATTTTCTAACTTGAGACATAAATGTATATATACAATATTAACCATGGTCGTTTGTAAATCAGTGTATATTCATGCAAACTCACTTTAAAATGAGTATTCAAGTAAAATCATCTTCAGACTGTGATACTTTGAGTAATAGTAATGGGACCTTTTAATGGCTTGAGGGTTGTGTATTGGCGACAGTGCTGGGTTGGCTTGATTCATCATTTATCAAAAACTTGTTACGATTAGAGCAATGTTGGGCAAAATTTTTAAACCAACGGCCAAAAATTTCACCCACTAAGACTGGCGGGCCATGTAAGTGTGACGTAAACAGTTACATTTTTTCAACAATATTTACAGTGTTGCAAAAGAAAAAGTAGAAAACGATAAGCCTCGTGCCAAAACTAAATTTAATCGCAGTCTCAACAAATTCTTTGAAATATTTTTTAGCTAAAAACATCAAAATTTGTTTTAGTTTGGTTGTGGCAGCATCAGGCGGGCCAAATTGAATTGAACAAAGGGTCGGATTTGGGCCAGGGGCCGTAGTTTACCCATGTCAGGATTAGAGTCATGTAAATTTAACTGACTAGTACGCAACTCACTACCAGCAAGACTTAAATCATTGATTGTCTTGACGACGATCTTGGGACTTGAATGGCCCTGACTTAACTCGGTGGTTTAGGGAGCAAACACTCACTAATAACTCCTAGACGTTCTCCATATCACCACGGATTTATCCTGTATGTGTGGCAAAGATTTTGCAAGGACAATTGGTCTAAAAAAGCACATGATGATGCATACTAGAGAAAAACCTCATTTTAAAAAAAAAAATGAATAACATTTGCCAGGAGATGTGATTTATCTTGTATGATTTGAATCCTTTGAGAAATTGCAAGAGGTTCGAGGTTGAATACTCATATAAATGATAAAAAAGGTTAGTAATGGAAGGCAAGAACTGTCTAACTAAATGCATAAATTGAATCATGTCTGAAACAATCAAGTTATTAACTGTTATTCCATAACAGCTATAAATTTGTTGGCTACAAGAAAGGCAATGTTTGCTCTAGGATGAAACTGGGCTCTTATAGCTATCGAAATCCAACAGTCTATTTTACTACATATATATATATTGTTTGAGTATAATCAAATACCTATATGGTTTGTGAATATTATCAAACTTGCTACACTTTAAAGATAAATTTCCATTTTTAGGTTTGCTTTTATATATATTTATAGTTTATACAATTCAGACAATATAAAACAAATATACTATTGCACAGAGGTTCCTCAGGCCTCTTCAATGTTTTGTTAGGTTTCACCTACACCAAGAAGGTTTAAAACCACTGAATAAGACTAAGCAGAGACATTGTGTTTCATTTTGGCATCACTGCCTTGGTCTTCTTTACAGCTCAATTTAGCTGGAGTTGTAATTTTTTCTAGCATATCATTCTCAGTCTGAAAAATGTTTTCAGTTTCGCTTTTTTGTTCTTCTAGAACTCCTATCAAAGCTTATTTTGTTGTGGCAACAGTTGTCATGGCTGCAGCTCTGTTGCTGAGCGGCTTTATTTTCATTTGTTCATAGATATGTTTGGCTGGATCAGATGGTTGTCTCTGTGTGACAGGACCTTTCATACTGATATATGAAGAACTTTTGCTTGACCTCAACTTTGAAAATTTAATCTTTTTCTTGCCTTGCACGTTTTCTTCAATCTGATGATAGGGATGGTGGCGCTGTGGAGTTATTTTATTCAGCATATTCATTGCAGTGTATGTCGATGATTTACGTTTGCTTTGTATTATTTTCTGTTCAAAGCTAGTTGACTGATTAAGATATAGATTATGTTTCTTTATCACACACTGATCAGAAGACTCCCTCATTACCAATGTTTGCATTCCACTACACACTTCAAAAGTCAGGTATCCCTTTGGTGTTTCGAACTTCATCGGAGTCTCATATGGCCCTGATACTGTTGAAACTGCCCTATTGAGTTTTTCTGATTCTGCGTTGTTTCCCATCTTATCATTGGTAAAAGGGAAGTAAGGGGCGGTTCCGCGAGGCCATTCATTAAATATCCTCACCATTTCGAGTTGTTGGCTATTGCTTGAGATTGGTAGTTCGTTTTGGATGTTCGGCTGAGTTGAACGGTTTGGCATTGAAGCTATATCCGCATTGCTAATGTATAGGGAACTTGATATGTTCTCTTGTTGTGTTTCCATTTGGAAAGTAGGGTTAGAATGACCTTGATTACTCCCATTTTGAGATGAATTGCTACTGAGGGATTCATGTCTAAATTAAAAGAGCATTGAAGTTAACATGGCAGTGAAGGCAGGAAAAATTCATTGCACTCCAAAGTATGTGAACCAAAATGGCGGGCACTGAAATGTAGTATGTGTACCAGGTTAGAGTTAGGCCATAATATTATTCCAATTATTCTCTTTTAGTTCTATTACAATTTTGGGGACTCGTAATAGAGTCACTCCCGTAGTGTTTTACCTGAAATTATGGCCTAACCCTAACCTGGTACACATACTACTGCTCCGGTATCCATCATCTTGGTTCACAGTTCACACACTTCGGGAGTAACAAATTTACATCTGGTTGTAATTTGTGAGCCATCCATTCTGGATATGGATTGGCAAAACTTTTGACTCTATGTCTCTAGCTTTGAAGGGGATTTGGACTTTGACTCCAAATTCTGAGAAGACTCGAATTTTGATAGATGATTATTTGGTACTCCCGTAGTATGAGAACCAAAATGGCGGACACTTGAACGTAGTATGTGTGCCAGGTTAGGGTTAGGTCATCATTCATTCCAATTTTCCTTATTTTAGTTCTATTACAAGTTCGGGGACTATCCAAGTGACTCCTGTAGTATTTGTACCTGAAATTATGGCCTAACCTGGTACACGTACCACGTTCCGGTGTCCGCCATCTTAGTTCACATACTTCAGGCGGTCAATTATTTTGTGTATGCACGCTTTTTTAATTGTCTTTTGAGAATGCTTCGAGTTTATTAAAAATTGTCTATCGTTGACGTTATTGAAGCTATACTTAATTTTTGTAGTTGATTTAGTTTTCAAAAGAACTCAAAACTGTTGATCTGATTCTGAATTTTTTTTTTGATTCAAAAATGGCGCTCCAGAAGTATGTGCACCAATATGGAGGTAACTAATTTTGTTCGCCTACTTTAAATCAAGTTGTGTAAAGGGACCGAAGCCTATGGTCCCCTAACTCAAAATAGAACTAAAATAAGGAAAATCGGAATCAAATTATGGCCTAATCCTAACCTGGTAGACATACCACAGGAGTACCAAAATCACAGTGACATTCTTCCACTTCACAGTCCTAGTGATATTCCATGGTTAAGTAAGTTTTCTCACCTTTTCTTGTACTTTCGTAGAAAGACTGTGGTTAGTATAATCAAGGACAGTGTAATTATCCCAACTAGGAGCAGTATAATGTTCCAGTATTGCGGTCTTTCGGTTTCTGGACTCTGATCTCGGACTTCTGGAGTCGAATCTGTTGCTTTAAAAACACGTGTGTATTTATTTGGGAGAGTAATAATAAATATAAATTTATGTGACATTTATTCACAATGTTTGCTGTGTACAAAGACATGTACAGGCACCAGGCACGGCGGTGTGGCTCAACGGGCTAAGTGTTAGGAATACGCTCGCCAACGCACCTCTAATTACTCTGCGTGGGTTCGCAGGTTTGAATCCCATGCAGCGATGGTTATGTGCGAGAGGATTGCTGGACTCCTCGCTGTCGTTGGGTGGTTCACGTAACCGCTGGTCGGTTACGGCTTTCTCCACCACCAAGTCCATGTTTCCGAAAACAAACAATATAACTAATCCCATACCCGACTTGGAATGGTAACCGGACGAGAGGCCGTGGTTCGCCATATGGATAAGCCATCTCATCAGCTTTCCTCTCCCCCGGGATAAATATGTAAATCTTATCCTATCCACCATTGACGACATGTAAGGAGCCACGATTTATTGGAATTACTTGTATGTTACAGGTTCGGCATTGACACCCTAGATAAGGTGACTTTGAATGCCATCATAGTTAAGTCTAATGTAGGGGTGTGCAACAGGCGGGCCACAACCAGGCCCACTAAATTATTTAGTGTGGCTCTTGTCAGCACTCGTATTTTTCCCCATCAAACATAAAAACCTAATCCAACAGTTTATGTTAACAGCTGATATATTCTATGCAAGAACTTGAATTTCAATTGTGAGACTAACATTTTGAATAAATAAAATTTGACATTGCGAGAACTTTTTTATTTCGTTGTCTACATGTGAAAAACTAAATTTTTTGCGTAGCCCAACTAGATGTCTGAAGATGGTTATACCAGCGGTTCCCAAACTTTTTGTTCGCGCGGTGCCATTTTACCAGGGAAAAAAACTCGCGGCGCACTTACACGAAAAAGATGCTGCTTTCAAACTGAACTCAATTTTGTGATCGTTAATGTGTACTTTATGCCTTTCAAAGTTTGTAAGCATGTAGGTCTATGCAATAAATGCAAAAGCCCGATTATCATTTGAAATGCTAAAAAGATCACTCTTGTTCGCTAAACTCGATTCAGCAGATAATTGGCTGCAGATCACAAAATTCCAGCAAATAGTGGTTACCTATATTGTTACGTAACATTAGAGGCAGACAATAGGTAACAAAAAATAAATGACATAGGAAAGTGAAGTGAACTTATTGATTTATATACACAGCATTTGGAAGAAGAAACAATTAAACCTATAAAATAAATACAATTTGTAGAATATTCTATCATATTTTAGATATGTTTAACACAATTCTGTAGATTTTCGCGGCGCACCTAGCAACTCGTCACGGCGAGCCTTTTGGGTACCGCTGGGTTATACCAACAAGAAATATTGCACAAACCTGATCTAACGCTTTAACCATTTTTGCATTATATATACTGCTGTTACACATGGTGAAGTAATTGCTTAAAATCAGTTGAATTAATAAAGACTAAAACGAGGTAGCGATCAGAGACCGCCAACTTATCGATCTAGTGGCATGTATCTTTCGCTCTGACTCAATAGTGACACCGCGTGTCCCATCACTAATTAATTAATAACTCGCTGATTATACGACATAATCCATCCAAAATCAATAGGCTTCTGATCTGAGATATGGTGAATGTACATGCAAAATTTGGAGAGGATTTAGCCTCGCTTTCGTGATATATCGTGTGTATCTAACAGACAAATATCTATCAACATACTTACCGATCAAGATCGATAAGTAACCATATGCCACTTTAAAATCGGAGATAATTTGATACCAATAAAATGAAGTAGCTTCATTCAAAATCCTTATCTAAGTCTTAAGCTTGGAAAATTTGAACCAATGCTTTGGTTTAAAGGCAAGAATTTACTGTATTTCAGAAGGACCGGAATCTTTACGGCTCCGAATTGTCTACCCATTTATTTACACACTGGGTAAGGCGTTAGCTTGACATTTGATCTTGAGATTTTTCACCTCTGATGCTACCCTAGTCAATACATGAATCAACTAGTGAATCAAAAACACCCTGTAGAGCTCTTGATTATAATTATTCATTTTATAGACGATGGTTTGAATATTACACTTGAACGGTAATTTTGAAATGCTGGAATAAAGCTTATGGAAGAAGATATGATGTCTTCCTCTACCTAAAAAAAATAGGAACCTACCATTACCGGTACTTGTCTCCCAATTCGTTGTCTCTCCTTCCATCCCAAATGGTCTTTGAGTCAGCACTGCTGGTAAATTCCCACAAATATAATCGGCCCTCGCGTCTTTTTGTTCCCAAGTTACAATGAAATGTAACCCATCAAATTTCATTATTGCATGGTATCTCTGATCTTGTTTTGCATTCACTGGAGTTTCTGGTATAATTTTGAATGGAAGATCTGAATGGAAAAGAATATTATGTCACCTTGTTTTTGTTTATATTGCGCAAGTCAAGTTTATCAGTTGTGGTGATTAAATGGTTTTATTACAATATTATTTCGCGTTCATTTGCAAGCATATTGCATATTAAAACTGCGAAAGACATAGTAAACCAGTAGTTCCAACCTTGTAAAATCTTGCGACACAAGGACATGCTCAAATACTGAACGGCAAGTAGTACTTTTATGGCTCTAAACTTAATCACTAATATAAAACAATAGTTTTACATAACCTTTAGTTCCCCAGAAATTACCCCAAAGTGAGAAGACAGCTTTTTGAAGAAGGCGTGGCTGTACTCAGCAAACTGAATGCTGCGAAGTTTTTAGGCATTTATATTCAAGCATTTATTTTAGGCATGTGATACTTTCCACATTACCATTGAGCAACACTGCAATACCAAAAATATTATAATCAATAAAAATTTACCAGAAACTAAATATAGTAACTTTTAGGATTTTATTGAAAAACATGAGACCCAAAAATAATTGAAGGCGACGCAAAACTGGGACCATAGGTTGGGAAAAAAAGTAGTAAACCAATGCTAATAATAGGTAAAGTTTACAAAATTTTCCCTGAATACGTAGAACTAGTCAGAACTTTCTGAGTCAGATATTCACTTCCTATATAGCCTATCATATTTCTATTTTCACCAATTCTTTCACAGTTCAACGTAAATTGACGTCATTTTGTTGACTTTGGCATTTGCAATATCATTCACTTGGCGAATTTTTGGCGCTCCAGAAGTGCATGTACCAATATGAGGTAACTGATTTTCTTGGGCAGTGGTATATTTATTGTATAACACAGACAGTCCCTGAACTCGTAATAGAACTAAAGTGAGGAAAATCTAAATAAAATTGTGGCCTAATCATAACCTGGTACATACACTATGAGAGTGCCGAATTATCTACCTACTCAATTTGACTATAAATATTTCATAACACTTTTCCGCTCAATATAAACCAGTCATCAATTGCAATGACTTATGTACCCAGTATGTACTTTTCCACGAGTCATCAATTGCATTGAATAGAAGGGAAAAAGTGAAGTGAAATTTCGAATCTCACAACTGCTTGTACTCAACTAAGCACTCGTGACTCTCAGCTCAGAATTAATTTGACATAAGACCTGTGACTTGGCTTGGGTTTTGGGACTGTCTCCCAACACTGGTATATTATGAATCCCTGGTGTCATTATTTATCATACCTTTCCTGTCTGCCAATGTTTTGCTGTGACCGCCACGATTCCAAGTTAGAATATTGTTTCTCCATGTAATTCCAATCCATACAGTGCAAGACAAAGTTTTACTTGAGCTCTCCCTGTAAAATATTATAACAAAAATACCCTTTCACTTCCATTGGGCAAGAATTTTGAACCTGGGGCGAAAAAATTTGCCCACCTAGACTGGCGGGCCATGTAAGTGTGACGTGAAAAGTTACATTTACAGTGTTACAAAGCAAATTTGGAAGACAGTATCTCAACAAATTTTTTGAGCTATTCTTAGCTAAACATCAAATTTTGGTTTGGGTTACGGCAGCATCAGGCGGGCCAGATTGAAGGACCCTATGGGCGGATTTGCCCATGTCTGTTCCAAACAAAAAAAATTTTGTGTTCAAACTTTGTGCATTCATCTTATCTCGGACCAGAAGCCTATTGATTTTGGGCGAATTATGTCGTATAATTAGCGAGTTATTAATTAATTAGTAATGGGGCACAAGGTGTCACTATGGAGTAAGAGCGCTGTTTTGAGGGATCCCCTAACTTTCGATCGATAAGTCTTCGGTCTCTGACCAATATTCTCGTTTATATTTTCGAGTGAGTGCGCCTGACCTTACTTTGAGCAAATTTCCTAATAGAAAATAAAAATCAATTGACCAAAGGTTCCCAAACTTGTGACACATCTCATTTCTGTATTACTAATAGTTACATATTGGAATATATATTTGACCAGTGTTCCCTCTAAGAAAATGTTACACTGAGCAAACGTTTGCTTCACTGAGCATGAATATATTAACGCTGAGCAGAGTCTACAAACTATGTGAAATATATTCCAACAGTATAATATATTATCAGAATGCGAACAAAGTACACATTTAACTCGAAAACATGGAACAATCATTCTAGCTAGGCGTTAGAAAATATTACGACCCATGCTTTGAAAACTAATGTTGCAAGTGCGCGAGATTGAGATTTTAGTCTGCAAATGGTCTGGTGATATTGCGCAATGGCGCGTGCAGTTGCACACCTTAAAGGTAACTTCACATTTGACAATATTAACATTACACCAGGAAAATATTCGCATACTTGTCAAAGTGATACTTTATCACAGAATGTACTTTTTTATAGGTCTAATAATTATATCATTTTATCACAGGCCTTATTGAGCATGGAACATTTCGGATTTAGGAATAATATGAAATTGACAATAAATTTTGGGAGATTGGAGTATGTATTGAAATAACACCTGTTCTAATTGTAAATGCTCGATCTTCTTCAATATACAATGATTTCCTAGGAAAATTCATTTATTGGGCTTGATCCAATTTTAACACTGGATTGATAATCAAAAATATTGTTTCTGAAAGCACTCAAAAGTGTATTGATTGCTCAATTTTGACTATCTCTGCCAATAGTGTGGCGGTGTGGCTCATTGTGCTAAGCATTCGGAATATGTTCGCCACCGTACCTCTGATTACTCTGCATGGGTTCGCAGATTGAAATCCCATGCGGGGATGATTATGTGCGAGAGGATTGCTGGACTTCTTGCTGCTGTAGGGTGGTTCACGTAACCTCTGGTTGCTTACGGCTACCTCCACCATCAAGTCCATACTTCTGAAAACAAATAGCTAACTAATCCCATACTCGACACAGAATGGTAATCGGATGAGAGGCTATGGTTAAGCCTCTCTCTCGCTTTCCTCTCCCCCGGGATAAATATGTAAGGTGAATCCTATCCTAATAAGTTTATTCATAAGGAACAAACCTTTATGACCAGTTAGCAGTACAGGTTAGAAATGTAAATATATTTAATCAAAGCTTGACAGATTCATAGACTTTTTATTATATCGAAAAGATTAAATTAGTTCTTACCATTTTTCTCTCATATATTTCTCAGTTGCTTCTACGTCCTTCAAAGTTTTTGGTGATAACAGATTGAGTTTATAAGAATCCACACAATGGATTTTCGCGCTCCAGAACGTTTTCAAAGTCTGACCAGTGTATGCTTCAATAAGAAGAAACAAAAATTAAAGTATCAAAGAGGTTGGTAAAATTGAATTTTTTCGAATTAAAGTTGATACAGCGAGGAACCAAAATTGGATAATTCGCAATTCTTAGTACATTCTAGAACAGTTGTTCTCAAACTTATTAGGCAGGGCCCCCTTTTTTGAATTTTTCAAGTCTCGTGCCCCAACTCAAAAATAACTAGCTAACAATAGGTTACAATTAACAACTAGTAAAGCGAAAGTAGATTTTATTCAAAATATACGTTGAAAGTATGTGGATGGATCGTAAATATCGAAATTAGGAAATGTAAATATCCAAAATAAAGCGGGTAAGATCTAATCTAACAAATAAATATATTTTTCATTAGATCCACCCCCCTCAAAAACTAATACTCTACCCCTTGTGGGGGTCGACCCACTGTTTGAGAACCACTGGTCCAAGTCATTCCATTTAGATAACTTGAGTCTCAGATAAATGGTGGTTCGGGATAAGTCAATGGCTTGAGCCTCCCTTCCCTGGTTTGCTATGTAGCAGACAATCTTATCATCTTTCGTCACTCTCTCAAAAATATCAACTTTTCAATACCTGCATTGGTTGTACATATATAAGGCAAGTTAGTCTTGCAATTCACACTTTTGAATCCTGGCATGGCATTGCATTTCGGTGCTGTTGGCTGGAAAAAAAAATAATTTCAAGATTCTTCCACAGGCAATTATATTTTATTTTCTCTTTATTTCACCTTTATTACCATATTGCGAAAGCAATGTCACATTTACTGCGCGTACGGAAAATTCGCCGTAGGAAATTTCGCTGCATAGGGAAATTCGCTGCATGAAAAAAGCGCCGCAAGAGCATGTTGCTGTAAAGCAAGTATGTTGCTTAAAAAATGCCGCAAGAGAATTTTGCTGTAAAACAGAATTTGTGATGAAAACGTGTAGGTTTATAGGGTTAGGATAAGTTCTTAAATAACGAATTTTTTTTCAAATAAAAAGAAACTTCAAAAACCTAACTGTTTTTATCACAAATACTTATTTTACAGCAAAATGCTCTTGCGTCGATTTTTCATTCGTTGATTTTTCCTATGTAGCAAATTTGTTGCGTCGAGATTTCCTACGGCGAATTTTCCTAGAACCCATGTACTGTACTCTAAGGTAGTGAAAGAATTTTTCATTTCAAAGTAATTTCAGACATACTCCTAAACGCTAATGAATAATAACTATACAGTAATGGTGATGTGATGGGTCGATTGTTTAACAGAGTGTCATAGTGTGGAACTTGGGAGGGATTTTCCAAGGTTTAACCTGAAAAGTATCAAAATATTGCTGTTTGCGTCAAGCAAAGGTTTGGAGACTATAGTACACTCAGTGATTTCCCTACCCCACCCCAACCCCCCAATTTTTAGGTGTGACACTGACACTGATATTTCAATAATCAACGAAAATAAAAAAAAGTACCAGTATTTGAATGTTCAGAAAGTGGCTCATATGCCAGTGAAGATGATCAGGCTAATACATAACACATTTCAAATAGTTTTATCACCAATAACAAAATATCTACCACCCCCTAAATTTTGAAACCCCCACCTTAAAATAGAAAACACACCTGTTTTGAGTATGACCAATATAAGTTTTGACTCAACTTTGATGTTTTGAGATCTCGGATGTTTGCTATGTTTCCACCAAGTGAAGTACAAAACCTCATAGCTTCCTGCAGAAAGAATTTAATTAGATTTCAAATACAAAAATATGGGGAAAAAAGACTGTTAGGAAAATTTGAGGGTTTGACTTGACGCAAGATGGATCAGAGTCACCATTCTTGTGTGACTCGAGCTATCTAAATGCATGTCCAGAAAATTCGCCGTATGAAATTTCACCGTAGCAAATCTATTCGCAGGAAATTTCGCCCATAGGAACAATTGCAAGAGCATTTTGCTGTAAAACAAGTATTTGTGATTAAAACAGTTAGGTTTATGGGTTAGAGCAGGGTGGTCCAAACCCAGGCCCACGGGCCACATGCGACCCGCTGCTTCATTATCTGTGGCCCGTGTCGCATTTTCAAGAAGGTAAACAAAAAAACGTATTTGGTGATGTTTCGTCGTATAAATAACCAGAAATGGTAATTATAAGTTCTTGTTGTAATTTGATATATCGTTACATTCATAATGAATGTCACTGAATTGACTAGTTTTAGGGCTAGCTGAGTCAACCAGTGAAGTGGAATAATGTGTTTGGCTAGTCTAAATTGTTAATTGGTTTTCTATTTTTTGGTCGGGAATATATTCTAACAAAATAGGCTTAATAGAAAACTAAAAATCGAATGAGGAATCTATTAATTAGCCGAGGTTGGCTATGCCTGATAACCACTTATTAATGCAATGGCCGAACAATATAATTCCTGTCGAGTGTTTTTTTTTTCAAACTGCGCAAACAGTAAAAAATGCTGCCTGTATGTCAGAAATTTGTGTATTTACCCTCCAATATCTCAAATTTGGTAAAATTCGGTAATCAACCAATCTGCAGTTATTTTGTAAACATGATTTTGAAAAGAAAGCTGACCGATTCAAACAGATATTTAACTGGATATCGCATGTAAAAGGCCACAATGATTGCTTAATATGTCTGCAAGTTGTGTCGGTGACAATCTAAAACGACATTTTCTCCTTTATGAACGGTTTGAAATCTCACACTAACTGTAGTTATAGTAAGATGTTCGCACGTTATAGTGAGTTTTTTGGTAGTTTTGGCACGTTTTAGCTGGATAAATGACAAATAATAACCAGTGTGTTTTGACAATAAAAGTGTTTATTTTGTATTGCAATTTTGAACAGTTCTTGGGACTATTGTGGCCCAGAAACAATACCAAAATAATAGTGTGGCCCGCAAGACAGTCAACCTTGGACCACTCTGGGTCCGAGTATGCTATTAAATAACAAATCTTTTTTAAATAAGAAGATTTTTCATACAGCGATTTTTCCTATGCGGCGAGATTTCCTAGAACCATCTAAACTAAATGAACCTATTTAGCTCTAATTGATTGGGTGCTACTTTGGTATGCCATCTCAGTGATTTCAGTTAGGATTAGGAACTAGATTCTATGAAAATGTCCTCATGGGATAAAGAATCGGGTGCCAATTTTGCTTTTCCCCGACGGTTCTAGGAAAATCGCCGCATAGGGTAAATCGCCATATGAAAAATTGCTTTATTTAAATAAGATTCGTTATTTAAAGCATTCCCTAAACCTAATTGTTTTAATCACAAATACTTGTTTTAATACTTGGATGGTGTTCATTATTTTAGTTCTATTAGTTTTATTACGAGTTCGGGGACTGTCTGTGTTTGCTAAGTGAATATCCTCCTGCTCATAGGGTTCAGTCCCTTAACACAATTTGATATAAAATAGGAAAACAAAATTAGTTACCTCCATATTGGTACACATACTTTGGGAGCGCTCATGTTTCAGGAAATGTACATAATTAATTGTTTCAGGGCGTTCAGCATTCGTTCCTACAAAATATTTGAACTAGTCATTGGCTTTTGTTCAGACTCATATCAAGTTTGCTTACCTCGTAATTTGCTTTTTCTTTTGCCAAATGATAACATGTTCCCTCGTTACCTTTCACCAGTAGAATTGTAGCTGATGTTGACGACTGACAAATCCTGATGTCTGTATCTTTCTTTGCGTTCCCCATTATGATCATCGATGTCCATATCATCATTGTATAAACCAAGACTTGAGGTATGATTTCATTTTTCATGTTTTATGTTTCTTTAAAGTAAAAATTTGAATTGAACAAGAAGTTCTCGGTTGAACAATAACCCCAGAGCTAAAAAGAAAGGTGTTTAACCTCTGATAATAGAATAATTAGGCCAATTTGCAACCTACATCTGAGTAATTGCTTTGTGCTGGGTAAATATGCAGATCTAAAGTTAACAAAAGATTCTCGTCAAAATTTTGAATGCTGATTTGGAGCTTGACTGGGTATTTTGATATTTGGAAATTGATTGTGCACTGGGGGAATTGAGTCATTTTGCCTAAAAGTATATGGAAATCTTTTTAAACGATGACTCGAGACTACATCTATTGCGGGGGTTGGCAATTACTTTTCTTCTGAGTGGGTTACAGATAATAGACTTGATTACTGGACTGGAGTCTCAAACTCAATATGAAAAACATTTTATTTACAACAGCTAGTCCAACAACAAGGATAATGTTCATTGTTAAAAAGAAGTACAGTGTGACAATCGGGGTCATAAGGATATGATTGTCATCGATATTTTCATCAGAAATTTATATTAATAAAAACTATAGTTGTAATTTCAATAGACACAAGTGGGCCGCAGGAAACTCTTTGATGGGTGAGATCCGGCTCATGGGCTGTAACTTACCCACTTCTGATCTTTTGCAATCACTCTAGATTCCCCAATGTTGCTTTAGAACATTAGATGTCTTAAAACTTGCTCCTAAATGATTGACTTTGACTGTTGTGGCTCACTCGAAATACCCTATACATAGGCCCTATACATAGTGAGTTTATTGACGCGAATTTTATCGAAAAACTCTCATTCATATTACAAATTGGAGCTTTGCTGGGTATTTCAAATTCCAATATTTGTAAAAGGATTGTTCATTTTTTAATTATTCACTTGAGGTTAGGTGATGAATTAGGTCATTCCATTGGTTGATGTAAATTTTAACAAAAAAACTGTCATTCCTATGAGCATTTGCAAAATAAAAAATTTGTATCTGTGACTGTGTATTGAAAAACGTTAAGCCCACTGTGCAGTGTTAGTAGAAGTCCTACATTCTGTGTGCTGAGCAGTGTTCCCTCTTAAAAAAAATTTACACTGAGCAAATGTTTGTTCTAGTGAACATGAATATTTTAAGGCTAAATTAGCAGAGTCTTGAATGGTTTACAAACTTGTGAAATATTAGTGTAGTGTAATTTATTATCAGAATGCGAACAAATTACATATATAATTATAATATTTTGAGGATGAGGATTTTAATGAGCAAATGGTCTGGTGGTACTGCGCAGTTGCACAACTTAGAGGGAATCATGATGCAGCACCATGGGTCATCAGGTTCTTGAGTCGAGACAATCACTGAGTTAAATTTCACTTGTTACTTATCGATCTTAAGATCGATAAGATCGATAAGTATGTTGATAGGTATTTGTCTGTTTGTTTGTTTGTTTGTCTGTCTGTTAGATACACGCGATATCTCACGAAATTGAGTATGAATCCGCTCCAAATTTTGCATACATTCATCATATCTCGGATCAGGAGCCTATTGATTTTGGATGAATTATGTCGTATAATTAGGATTAGCGAGTTATTAATTAATTAGTGATTGGACACAAGGTGTCAGTATGGAGTAAGAGCGCTGTTTTGGGGATCCCCTAACTTTCGATCGATAAGTCTTCGGTCTCTGACCGATATTCTCATGATTAGTTGTTAATAAGTCCAAGTCATTCCAATACAATGACTTATTAAACATCATTGCTACATCCTTTCACCTTTCTTCTCCCCATGCTAAACATTCTATTCTTTTATCAGAAAAGTCATAAATGTCATACAGTTCCAACATGGCAATTCTTCTATATTTTTGCTCGTCTGTTTTGGCTTTTGCTGTGGTTCTACATTTTCTACACAAGAGTTACAACTAGCATTGGCCACATTTTTTATTCATGAACTATACCAACAAGGACTAATTCACTGTTGAAATTTTCATCACAGTTCAGCTACATATATGGCTTTTCTTAGCGAGAATATACTTTATCAAATGGGATTTTTCCTTTCTATTGTGTTATCTCTATATATGGATGTGTGAGTCTAAATCCTGTTAGGCATAGCTTGTACGTAGATCAGTGCGTTTCTGTAAGCCATTTACAGTTTCTGCCAAACTAACCATGACTCTTCCACGGAGTATGACTTATGTATTGTGCTTTAGGTGATCTTTTCTTATTCCTGAGTCAACGTTTTAGGTACTTTTCATAGACAATAGTTTGAAGCGTAATATGTGTGTTAGAATTGTATGCCATATATGACACATAATATTTCAAAAATTCACTCAGCACCAGTGGTTTTCAAACTTTTTCTGCTGCACCCCTTCTTAGAATTTGTCAAGCCTCACGCCCCCCTCAAAAATAACTACCGTAACTAACAATAAGCTACAAATAAGAGATAGTAGGTAAGGTATGTTCTATTCAAATAACATGTTGCAAATACGTAGATGGAATCGCAATCGTACGTACAAGACGTACAAGATTGAATTTATCAATTTTCATTTTTAATTAGCTTAATGGCTGCTTAAAAAATTGTCCACACCCCTCTTGAGGGGCGCGCCCTACTGTTTGAAAACCACCGCTCTACACCGATCCAGCAAATGAGGAAATAATCTCACATCTTTTGTTCATGATGTAGGCTAGGCTTTTAGTGGGATTTTGAGATTGGCAGTGAATTTTAAAATAGTGGGTCTGGCCATGCATAAAATAAAATGGGCACATATATGGTACAAGCTCTTTATGCACTGGATGCATCTGTATTGTGATTTCTAGTACTTGTACAGTTCATACACAGAGCTTGACCTCCTATATTTGTGAATGAGGAATGTTTTACTGTTAGGTGATTCATATATTCCAAAGTTCCCAAGGTTTTGAAATCATCTCATTACTGTTCCATATTTAAGGAGCTGAATGGTACATTTATGGTTGATGTTGAAAACTTTCCATATTGAAGTCAACCTTTTTTGCTTACATGTCCACTTTAGACAAGGCTCTACACAACCAGCCACTGGTATTTTATGGTCTACTTTTACTGGTTTTGTGATGTGTGGGTCTAACCCAGAGATGCGCACGGTTTTTCGACCAGGGGCCAATATTTTGCCCACCTAAACTGGCGGGCCATGTAAGTGTGACGTGAAAAGTTACATTTTATGAACATTATTTATAGTGTTACAAAAGCAAAAGTGGAAAACAACGAGCCTCATGCCAAAACTAAATGTAATCTCAGTCTCAACAGATTCATTGAGCCATTTTTAACTAAAACACCAAAATTAGGTTTCAGTTTGATTGTGGCAGCATCAGGTGGCCAGATTGAATTACCCAATTTGGTTTGGCCCATGGGCCGTATTTTGGATATGTCTGGTCTAACCCAATTTATTACACTCTATGTCAGGGGTTCCCAAACCAGGGGGCGCGACCTCAAATTGGGTCGGAGTGATATTTAGGTAGGGTCGCAAACAGGTCATGGGTTTGCTGAGGCATGGTAGAGGATGGATGTACAAACCATCTAAGATTTGACAAACCATGTTGAATTTAGCAGTTTGTATCATGGCTTACTGTAAAACAGGCCCATAGGCTTCGCTCTATGCTTCTGCTATAAAAAATGCAGGTGCTTATTGTGACATCGCTGTTTTGTTGTAGCTTATTTTACATAATACCACCACATGACCAAACTCAAAAGTCCAGTAAAAGAAGCTCTAAACTAAAGTCTATGAAAAATATATATATTGACTTGGGGTCGCACTGGACACTTGAAAGTTGTGTTTGGAGTCATCCTGAAAGAAGCTTGGGAACCCCTGCTCTATGTGATGTTGTGGGTATGGGGTTGATATCTAAACATACTTGAAGCCCAATGGTCTCACCACTAGGCCATAACCCATACTTAGGCATACTGGAGCAGCCAAGAATAATAGACATTTACTATTTGTAGTTTTATGTGGTTTAAGTGTTTTCATTGTGGTAGATGATGAGTTATGATTAGTGGGTACTCCCGTAGTATGTGAACCAAGTTGGCGGACACCGGAACAAGGTATATATGTACCAGGTTAGGGTTAGGCCATAATTTCAGGTACCAATCCTTCGGGAGTCACTTGGCCTGTCCCCGAACTCGTAATGGAACTAAAATAAGGAAAATTGGAATAAAATCATGGCCTAACCTGGTACATATACTATGTTCCGCTGTCTGCCATCGTGATTCATATACTACGGGAGCGTCTATTAGTGTATATAAGTCAGACAAAGCAGACCATTTCGCCTCTGGTAATTAACATGGTAGGCCCAGTAGAGGTGCTCTGTATGTTTTGGTGGCTGCTTGTCTGGGGCCTTATTTAAAAACATATGAATGTGTTTTTTTTACTCTTTCAATGATCTAATTCCTGGTTTATTTACTAGTTCCCTGTTTATGGTTCTCTAACTTTCTTAATTCGTGCCACCCTCAAAGACTCTTGAAAACTCCCAGTTTTGCCTACTTTGGTTTCCTGTGTGTCCCTTCGCCCTGGAATGCTATTTTTCCATATATAATTTATTACAATTTGTAAGTGTGTACAGTTTCGGCATAGTGAAGAAAAAAAAGTACTGATTACTGAGAAGCATTGTTCAGAGTGCAGCTGTAAACTGAACACCACATTAATGTTTGAAAGTGTCAAATTGTGCTGCTAATGTTCTGTTTTTAGTAAATTATTTCTAAGGGAAGTCTTCTGCTATGCCAATTTGTATTATGATGCAAACTGGTGATGGGCTGAGATTTACATATTTCTCCCAGGGTAGAGGAAAGATGATAAGAAGACATAATCATATGGTAAACCATAGCCTCTCATCAGTTCAGGCTACCAGTGCATGTTCGGTATGAAAATAGTTAACAAGTTATTTGTTTCATATGCCTAGACTTTATGGGGAAGCTAGCCGTGATTGAACAGTGGTTTACTCTTTGCCGGTGGGAGTCTTGCATTTCTTTTGCACATAATCATCTCTCTTGAGAATTTCTAATAAATGTGGCATTTTCAGATTTCTCTTAACCAAATATTGTATTATTTTACATGATATTTTTTGGAAATAGTCCTCAATCTGGGGCCAAGGGAACAGCTTGGAAATTTCCGATTTAGACTCTGAGAGGAGTGTTCATCAATTTTAGCCTTGTCAGTTTATTCTTTTGAGCCTTCTGACCTTGATTATCTCTCCAATAGTTGTTTGCACCCATTCAGGCCAAAGGACCATTTTATTGAAGGCAATTTTTCTGCTTTGGACTCCTCTTCCCAGGAATTTTTTCTTCTCATGTTGGACTAAGTTTTTAGATGAAGTGCTTATTCTCTAATAAGATAAATACAACTATTGGTATTTGTTTGGTTTTTCGCAGTTTTGTTTGTTCTCTGATATGAAAGGAATTTGTGATTTTGCAATACTTTGGTTGCGTAACCTCACAGTTTATTTCATCATAATTAAGGGGGTGGAGCGAAGGTGGGTGGGTTTGAAATAATTGAACCAGAGTTTATAATTCTTATCATATTGATATTTATTCAACGTATGCACTGCAGAACTAATGACATCTTGCAAATAATCATTATTTGTCAACTTTTCGCTTGCTTGTTTGAACAAAATCATTTGCAAACTTTTTTCTTGCTAAATGGGCCAATGGAAAACCGCTGGTTTACTCATTATAATACAGTCACATTGTATAAATATCAGATTCCACCAGTAGATTAACGTATTCACTATATAGCTAGAGCTTGTCGTACTCTGAATAACCTTCTGTCTGGGTTGGGGAGTTCATTCATGCCTTTTTCTTTTGACAAGACCCAAGCATCTTTTGATATCTAATGATATGTAACAGACTACTATATCACGAGGGTCCAGAACTTTTTGGTTTGGCATTGGCTACCCAATTTATTACACCCAGGGAGTTTAACCAGAGATCAGTGATGTCAACATAGTTAAGTATAATGCAACCTCTCTCTACACGAGAGAGAATTTTCGGGGGGATTGGGGGGGAAAACAGTATTGTTACTTTCAAGTGTAGTTTTCTTAGCAATAGTAGTGTTATTGTAATACATATTTGGGCGCTTCAGAAGTGTATGAGAGATAGAGAGCTTTTTTGTTTTGTCAATATGGAGTCATGGTCAATGGTATGTACCAATATGGAGGTAACTAATTTTGATCGCCTACTTTACATCAAGTGATGTAAATGGACTGAAACCTATGGACAGGGGGTATGGTCATTTGGCTAACAAAGGCAGTCCCCAAACTCATGATAGAACTAAAATAAGGAAAATTGGAAAACAAATTATTAAACCTGGTACACACACTACAGGAGTATAAACTAGTTCAGTAATACAAAAACCAGAGCGTGTTTAAAACTAGCTAGAGAGCATTTGTAGAATGAACAAAAGTTTTTATAAGAATTAGGGAGGAATAAAAGTTCCAAAAAAGGTGAAGGGAAGAATTTATTGAAAAGGTTGCAAAACACTTTTCTAATGTGTTAATCACTGTATCAGTAATATAAACACACACAAAGAAATTCTAATTACGTAAGTAATTTGTTGTTTTTATTTGCTCACATGATATGAAATCTGTGTCCCACTTAGCTTACCTGGGACAGTCCCAAATGCATTACCTATTCTTTTAAACCTATTCCAATTAGGAGAAAAAGGTATTTATCTATATGAATTTTCAAAAGGGGAGGGGGGGTTCAGAATTCCCATTGCCGTCTGTAACAGTCACCACGATTACGCGCTCGTTATGAGAGCTGTCTTTTCAGCGTATAATGATTTTTCTTTTGCGTAAAATATTCAATCCATGACAACTACGTGATTCTAAAATGTCTTTATATAATAATTTAATTGTGTCCAACGTAGCTCGCGGTTGCTTCTTCTTAGGTCAAAATAAAAACATTGTTTTTCTAAAATGCCATGGCGATCTGTGGACATAAAAATTTAAGACAAACTAACTGCTTGATGTATTCAATTTTAATAGTAATCAAAGTAATCAATCTGTGACCAATACGGGCATATTTAAAATGTCTTGCTTTATTAACTTAATTGTCTTCAATTTAACATGTGGTTGCGTCGACAAAATAAAATCTTCCTAATTTTAAAATACCACGGCAATCTGCCCGATTATATGAAGCTTTAAACCTTATTTTTACCATTTTGCGTATTCAACGAATTTTAGAGGTACTTGTAACATCACAATGCTGCCACTCCAATAATTTTTGGGATAACATCTTTCAAAAAATCCATAAATCTGCTGTAAAATCTCAGGGAAAAATTGATTGTAATGCAATAAAAATATATTGAATATACATTAGATGGATTATCTCATATATCATCAAAATCGGGAAAATTGTACTATTTTAAACCTTGTATAATGTTGAAACGAAAATTTTTCTTTTTCAGTATTTTATATTTTCCCGCTTTTCAATCAAAAAATCTGCGTTGTCTTTAGAAACTCGCGCCGATGAACGTATATTAAACTATCACCGGATTCACAATTCTGTGCGTGTACAAAATTAAAATGAATATCATCGTTATCTTGGCAAAAAGTTGTGGAAAATTTGCGGTTTAGAGAAAATAAAACCAACGTAAAGGTGTTCAGGGCCTAAATAACACGTCACGCTGATAATTTTCCAGTTTTCAAACAATTTTTAAAAAAAGCGGGGGAACATGTGAACCAACCCTACGCCGGCGAGAAGTCCAGAAATCATCTTACACATAGCTATCTCGTCATGGGATTTAAACCGGTGAAGCCAGGCAGGGTAATCAGAGTTGCAGTGACAAACGTTACTCAGCACAATGCGATCAATCGCCGAGTTTAACATCTTCATCATGTCATGATGAAGTTGAAAAATGTGGAAATAGTTTTTCGATTTTGACTGAAATCAGATTTCCCTAATATGATACCCCTACGGTTGATTACAAGGAATAGCAAGACATTAATGTCAATCCTTTGGAATCATGTAAGCAGTGATAGCATATTAGTTTAAAGTTTACGTTGATTATGGCTGCACTGTCCAACACTGCATTTTCTACCTCCACTTGTGATGATGCCGACACCACTCTAGTAAGTTGTCAAGATTACGACATTGCTCTTGCTTTCAACAAGCTGCAACTACACTTGGCCAATTTATTTAAAATTTTCCATGGCTTCCATGGCTAAGGCCAAATACTGTTATGTGTGTGTCGTATATTTTATGCACATAGCATACTGTATTTGTCTGTTTCAAAACATACAACAGGCGCTGCATGAAACTGGCTCAAGATAATTTATTTGGGGTATGTTATTAAATTCACTCAACATCAGATGCAGTCGACTACTCAAGATATGGTGATCGACCTGTTGACCGCGATTGACATGTTACACACCCTTGGTCCAGAGTAATGCCCCATGCAATATCTGAGACTTTTCCTAAAAAATTTCTTGTTACGATTTGAAAACAAGCATATTATTTATTTGATGTTTGTGCTAAAGATACAAATCCTCCCTTAATAATCCAATATTATTTATTGTTGTAAAAACTGTTGGAAAAATTAGAGAAGTCACATATGATCAGTCATTATTAGTTATTATGATAAATAAAATGACTTCGAAATTTATACTGAATATGGACGGTGTAAATGAGAATGCTTCTTTCTAATAATAACATTTTTATATCATAAACCAGTTATCATTATTTAAACAAACTCATAATAGTAATCTACTTTCGAATACAATCTCTGTTTGACCAAATTCAAATGATTTTAGAAAAAGTGAGGAATAATCGTTTCTTCTCATTCACATAGGCGAAAACAACTTTCCACCCTGAAGGTGATTATGGGTCAAAAGGAGATCTTAAAATATTGATGGAAAGTGTTGCTGAGCTCAGAAAGTCAGATCAGCAGAATAAAAAAAGGATTGCTGATCTTGAACAAGCAAATCGGGAACAGAAGGTTGGTTATATTTGAACAGAATTTACGACTAGTACAATAGACTGAAAATTAATGAATCGTTTCACAGAGTTGAGCAAAAATAGTTGAAACATGGGATATTAAATTACGGCTTGTTTTGAATGGCCCTAAAAAAATAGTTTTTCTTATTCATAATGGAAAAGCAGGTTTTGTCAATATATAGCTATAATAATTTATCTAAGCAACAACAAGTCTATGAATATCCATTTCTGCAGTGACTCCTATCGCGAATAGGCAGTATTGTTCTGGTGTTGTTTATTACCTTGTGTCTTGACAGCCCTGGGTTCTCTGGAGGTATTTTAAATTTCAACTTGGTATCTGATCTATTTGAGTTATTGGTGAACATCGATTGACTGCAACTGAAATTTTGTATTTCACACAATATAAATATTTGTTTTTGTGCTATAATGTATTTAACATAATAATTCAATAGGTATTATGAAATGATATAATGTTATACAAACTTTTTAGGCCATGGAGCCATGTTTTTTTCCTAATTTTGACTGAATAATTTATAATTGCTGTAGCAATTTGTGACAAGCAAACTCGTAGATTCGACTCTACGGGAAGTCTCGACCTGTATTTTGTCATCAACTTGGTAAGAGCTAAAAATGCTGCCTCACACATGTAGGTTTTTCTAAATGCCCTTTCTGATAGATATTCGTCCGCAACGCTCCACCGCGATAAGACTTTTTTCATCTTGTCACGAACATGATTATTTGGCATTGAATACTAGATCTCCTCTCTTTAAAATTCGATCTTTGTTGCATTGTTGTTCTTATTGCTCTGCTTTAATAAAAAAAAGTAGTAAAACACTTTTTCAGGTCGAACTCCAGGAATGCAAAACAAAATGTGAAGAACTTGAAAGAGAGAACCAGGAATTGCGAAATCAACTTGAACAAAGAGGCACAATCAATATAGTGAGTACTATTTGTAACTCAAAATAACACTTTTTTTCATATTTTGTGACAATATTTTACAACTTGATTGAAAAACTGAGTTGAATTTTAGTTTTTATGACTTTTCTTCGGATTTACAAATTTGTCTTTAACCCCATAGAACTCATCTAATAAGACAATTCATAGGCTAGAGCGGGACTATGAATATGAACCTTTAAATATAAGAAAAAACGAGATAAAACAAAAAACTCAGGCAACCAGTATTCATTTCATTAAAGTTAGAGCTATCAGGTGAAACCAGTATGAGCCTCAAAAAGCGGTGTGGCTCCTCGTGCTAAGCGTTGGGAATACGCTCGCCCACAGCACCTCTGATTACTTTGCTTGGGTTCGCAGGTTCGAATATCATGCGAGGATAGTTATGTGCAAGCGGATTGCTGGACTCGCCGTCATAGGATGGTTCATGTAATCGCTGGTCGGTTCCCTTTTTCTCTGGATAAATATGTAAATCCTATCCTATCCTAGTTCACCCCCTGGGCATTTGATAAGAATAAGATATCATATTTATTAATATTGTGAGAGCACTCAACCAGCTACAAGTCCATGTCTGGTATGAGATTAGTTAGCCAGGTATTTGTTCCATGCAGTTGCATAAACCACCCATAGGGATGGAATCCCGGACCTATAAGGTATCTAACCTATAATACTCAACTGAATTGGGTAGAAAGCCCTATGATTTCATAAATGAACCTGAAAACGTATTGTAGAAAACTAGATAACTTCGCAACAGTCAGCCTCGTTGTTCACCTTTTCCTCACCATAACCGTCGTTATCATACATAATATAAAATAGTGAATATGGGGGGAACTGACTCTGATGACTGTATGGTCGTATCGCTCCTCCCATTCTATACCGAATAACATTGTGCGTTTATTGTTGCATATTATTGTTGCAATGCTTTTTGACGAATAATAAATCTATCTCTTTTCTTCTCTATGGTGGTGAGGAGTCTAGCAATACTCTCAAAAATGATTACGGTGGACATAAATATTAAATGTTTAATTTCAACAGAAACCATGGAAAGTTAAAGTTCTGAAGTCAGTTTGTATAGTTCTTGGAGTGGAAAAGTCGCAGCTTGGGCTGGAGTAGGTTTCGCCAGAGAGTAGTTGTCGGAGGTGGTTACATAATTGTGGTAATCACCATTGCAATCAGAAGAAATTCAAATTATATTGTCCTAATTGGTAACGAATTTCCCATTGTGCTCCACATTGAAGAGCAAATCATATCAATGTAATCTTGATTTTCAATTTTTATTTTATTGTCAATTTCAATTTATGTATCACTAAGTGAATCACTTATTTATAAAGTTTGTCTATTATTTAGATATCTTGGCTGTATATAATTATATTGAATTGATTTAGCAGCCTAATTTATCATTGCAATAAAACATTATGATATATACAACTCATGAACTCCGTTTGTTTATTTATTTACTGTCTGTGTGCCCTTTGGACCCAAGGCAGGGGAATTTTTGATAATGGGCTAAAACAATTCTGATTTTAGAATGGCGAATCATGTGAGTGAAAAAATAAAAGAGTAGAAAGTGATTTTGAGTCGCTTGGGGAGTTGTGTGAAAATAATAATGAGGTGAATTTTTAGAATTGTTGACTTCGTTCCGCTCGGTGGGTTCTTCCGATGTATGTGAACCAAGATGGCGGACACTGGAACGTAGTATGTGTATCAGGTTAGGGTTAGGCCACAATTTCCAGTAAGTCAGCCCACAGGAGTCAATTGCCTAGTCTCCGAACTCGTAATAGAACTAAAATAAGGAAAATTGGAATAACATTATGGCCTAACCTGGTACACATACTACGTTCCAGTGTCCATCTTGATTCACATACTACGGGAGCGCCACTCGGTGTAGGGACTTTCTCGATTGCAATGTCGATTTTGGTTAGAGGTAAGATCGGGCCCAAAAATTCCAGCCCGACCCGGGCCCGTGGGTATTAAACCCAACCCGAGCCCGACCAATTAACTGGATTTGCAGGCTCGAGCCGGGTCTTGTCGAACTTTTTTATGACCACTAGATGGCTCAAGATGGTTGCGTATTTTGAGTTGGGTGTGCAGACTTCTACCTCCACGTTTTGCGCACCAGAGTTTTCCTGACCGCTAGATGACATAGGACGGTTGTTTACTTGTAGTTAGCATTTTGTTTCACCGTCGCCTTCGAAATTGTTTAAAAATACACGTGAATTTATGGACATTTGGGTATAGTCAAGACTGGGTTTGCACCGGTGCCTCAAGTCACGGGTACCACGTACACATACACACTCTCTGGAACTGGAAACGGTATTATGACGTCACGTTTCTATCACCATGAAAACTTAATATAGCTTCGAGTTTCTTAATTTGTTTTAAAATTCAAGCTGTTACCAAATGTAGCACATGTACGTATCTTGCTTAGAACTGCAATTCTGTTATATATATATATATATTTTGGGGTGGGGGGTCATTATGTAGTCATAGCAACTATTTAAATGGAAATCTACTATGACGTCGAAACGAACTTTTTTAACTGTGAAAAATGACATAATATACATGACGTCAACAATTTTTTATTTCCAAAATGCCAGTTCAACAAAATTCTGCGTACACAGAAGTATATATATTGTTGAAATTCTCGAAGTCGCGACAAGCGTCATTGACAATTACCGACAAACCTTATTTTCGAGAAACGTGCAACATCGCGGCTTTTTTATTATCTTGTTTACGGTATATGAACATGTGAGCGTTTAGAAAGCGACAGCGAAGTAGAATGTACAAACTCTCTATTGCGTAGCAAAGTATCAAGAAAAAAGAAAAGCTATATTAAGTTGTCATGGTGATAGAAACGTGACGTCATAACACCCGTATTAAACGACGAAAAGACCTATTTTGGGCTTTTGGCAATGTAAGATACTGAATATTTGGTCATTTTCAATACAAAGACGTCGTTCATTGCAGTATTCTGCAGTTTCTTTCATGTCTATCAGCCAGTTGTAAAGCTTACCAAAGAACTAGCAATATAACTAGACCTACCATACGTCCCGTTTGGCCGGGACAGTCCCGGTTTAAACGTCTGTCCCGGTGTCCCGCCCCGGTTAGCAAAATGTCCCGGAATTTGACTTTGGTGAAATCTTTAAAATTAACTCCAACCTGACGCAAAATTATGAAATAATTCCGTCCCAAAAGACATAATTTTGCTTTAACTCAAGGCATATTTTATTATCCTATTTTATTATAAATTAATATTTATCACACGAATGCAATGTTTTTGAATTCATTCAAACCCTAGCAGTTGTTAAAATTATAATATACAGCTCAAGTTGCGAGTGTTTCAAAATGGGAGAGTTCCCTTTTTTTATATCGCATATCATTATAAACACAATTGTACTTTTATATTAAAAACCAATCGCTATTTGTGCGCATCGTCTTCGTAATATGAGTCTCGTTACCTCATTCGATTTGATTATGGGTCGATTATGATTAGTAAAGTCAAGAGAAGGGCACCTTTGGGAAGACATTTATTGTCACCAAGCTACGTATATTGCCGGATCGTGTTTACAAATCACTCATACGGTGTTTTTGTTACCTCGGAATGTAATGGAATTATTCGGCCAGTCAGTGGTATTGGTTACAATTTATGCGATGGAGAGTTATGCGCTTTTTCATTGTAACGTTTGTAATCATGTCGACGAAAAATGAAATCTCTTATATTATGCTTTTCTACTTAAGAGCATTCAGTTCCACCGGAATACCTTACAGATAGTGAGGCAGACATCAAAATATTGTTCTTTATTTTACTCTATCTTTGTAAATTTAGATGAGAGGCTGCGAGAGGATTACGGTATCTTTAATTAAACCTTTAAATTTAGGAAGCACTGATAACTGAGAAACGGATATCATTAATACCACAGAGGTATTTGAAGGTTTTTTGTGCTCAAACTTTGAATAAATAAAAACTTCTTTATCGATCTATAGCTATGTTTGGATACACATGATAAAAGTTGGGGCAACTAAGGGCTAATTGGTCCCTGTTTCTACACGTATCCACCGCTTTATTTTTTCCTGACAAATATTTGTGAAAAAAAAGATTTTATTGGTTGGAATTATTAGCATGTTTTATGAAGCGGTTTCACATTTCGAACACGTCTACAGGAATGAAACCACGGACACGTAAGGTGCTACTATTTTTCAACTTCTTTCGGGTCACACCCCGGGCGAATTGATGGAATGGGACTCAGATACAGGATGTTAAAAAGTAACGCAAAATTAACAGAAGTTAGGATGAAATGCTACTTACAACATTTAACGACTGACACCTTTCAAGAGTATTGAATTACAATGAAATGCCATTCAAACATTTCAAGACTGACGCTTTTTAACAGTTCATTTTTTAACGTTGCCATGAAGAAAAATTTAACTTTAAATTTAAGTTCTCCGTCTAAATATCCAACTTACGGTATACATTGGATAACACGCTTTCAGTGTTTTGTGAAAATGTAACGACAAATCTGCTTTACGTTCGTATTCGAAATAACTTTAAATTTCAAGTCAGTTCTTGAACAAATAGTGTCATCTCAATCATATGATTATAAAGTAACTATATCAAAAATATTGATTGACTATTCTTTGATTATTAGGGTTAAACATCTTGAATAAATAATTGGGAGTAGAATATAAGTTTTAACTTAACATATATTATGTCTGACGAACCAAGCGGCGCCCAAGCTTCCGTTGGAAGTGAACCCAGTGTAAGTTTCTATATATATCATTTATTTCTCGTCCATAGGTTGGGTCCACCTTATTTCACAGAAATTACTGTTTACCCGGCCTTACTTCGAAACTCCTGTAGTATGTGAACCAATATGGCGGACACCGGGACGTAGTATGTATAACAGGTTCCTGTTAGGCTATGATTTCATTCCAATTTTCCTTATTTTAGTTCTATTACGAGTTCGGGGACTAGACAAGTGACTCCCGTAGTATTTGTACCTAGAATTATGGCCTAACTCTGACCTGGTACACATACTACGTTCCGTTGTCCGCCATCTTGTTTCGCCTACCACAGGAGTACCCTTGCCTGTACTGCGCCCCTTCAATTTTACATGAATTTAAATAATTTTCGAAAGGGTGAAAATACATCTAACATCTTCTTTATCTAGATAAGAGTGACTGAGAGTTTTCAAGAAATTAGGAATCGGCTCAAAGAGGAAATTCTTGCGAGTGCAATCTATCTGTTCCATATAGATAGAATATTTGTTAAACTTATGCTTTGGGAATTTTCTTTTGAGAAACCAATTTTTATAGACTATTGCCGTATAATGCCACTCGACTCTACCAACTCAATTCTCGAGTTTTGTTCGAGAATAAAAATTTCTAACTTTTATAAAAACCCAGTATGCAAGCAAAACTTATAATCAGAGGTGGCCAACCTGCTTGCGATCGCGATCGGCTAAAATTGTCAAATTAGCACGCGATCGACTGATCTATAGATAATAAGGTGATTCAAGGGTACTCCCGAAGTATGCGTACCAAGATGGCGCACAACCTGAATATAGAATATATACCAGGTTAGGGTTCTGGTTGTGCGCCATCTTGGTAAACATACTTCGGGAGCGCTCATAGAGGCACATACATAAAATTCCACCGCTGCCATTTAAGCGCTCATACAGGCACATACATAAAATTCCACCGCTGCCAATAAACTCGGCTCTGTGGGCGCATTTCAATGAGATCGTCACAAGACCTTGTATTTTTTATGTTTCATCTAATTTGATTATGTAATAACTTCACCCGGAGAAACTTTCATCATTTATTTGAATCGTACAATTCAGATATACAGCCTCATTTTGCGCATGTAACTATATTCTTCCTTCTCTAAAACACAATAGGCGCTGCATAAAACTAGTACAGGGAAAAAGTTTGGGGTATGTTATTAAACTCACTAAACATCAGACACGACCATCGACGTGTTGGCCACCCCTGACCTATATGAAACCGAGGTAAAACTGAATGTGGTTTATGTAACCTAAGGTTAATTATAGATTCTTCCACAAATTGAAAATAAAAACTGAGTTTAACAACTAATTACCAAAAGCTTTTGTTTTTTTAAGGCTGATATGAGAGGGAAAATGCGAGAAGAATGCGAGGTAAATATATACACATCATTTTTAAAACTGAACAGTTATTTTTTTACTGTTTGCAAAACCCATCAAAATTACAATTGACTATAAAATAGTAATTTTTACAAATGCTCATATTGTTTTTCGGTTTTAATAACACTAAATATTAACAAAAAGCAAGAGGGGGGATATGCACATGTATCGGAAATATCATTTTTGAGAGTAATTTTAGGGCCCTGTCCGTAGTCATACCTGATGATTGAAAAAAAACTAAGTTATTTTGTCAAGCCTCTTATCTATGATAACCTGGAAAATAAATGAAATGGCAAGTCTTTCACCTGGGATCTAAAAGCTACTTTAAGGAGTTCAAGCCATGAGCGGCGAATTCCAATTTAACGACGGTGTTTCATTTTTCAAGGCTAAAATAAAACATCTCATGGAAAAGCACCAAGACAAAGTTGAAGAAATAAAGACGGAACATGAGGTCATGATATATTTTTAATTATTTTGTAGAAATAATTACATTTTGTCTTAAAGTTGACAGTGTAACAATTAGATGAAGTGACAGATTGCCTTCGTGGCTGTTTTCGCCTTGCGATGTCATTATGAACGTATAAAATTTAGCGTTTTCATAAGTATAGACTCTTTCAAAGTTAATTAAATACTGCTATTATGGGTACTCCCGAAGTATGTGAACCTAGATGGCGAACACCGGAAAGTAGCATGTGTACCAGGTTAGGGTTAGACAATAATTTTAGGTACAAATACTTCGGGAGTCAATTGGCTGGTCCCGAACGCGTAGTAGAACTAAAATAAGGAAAATTGAAATAAAATTATGACCTAACCCCAACCTGGTACACATACTACGTTCCGGTAACCGCCATCTTGGTTCACGTACTTCAGGAGTACCCTATTATGATGTTATTAAAGTATTCTTGCAGTCTCTTTCAGCTTTGGAAGCAAACACCTTTTTCATTTTCATAATTCTGTTTTGAATCAATTTCAAAATTAAAATCTTTTTCATTTAGGATGAGATGAAATCACTCCGCGAGAGTTTCGAACGTGATTTTAAGAACAAGGAAGACATGAAAAAGAAGATCGAGGACTTGGGAAACAAGGATTTGCCCAAGGAAGACCTGATGGCTGAATTGATGGAGTTGATAAAAGAGTTTCCGGTATCTACTACTACTTTTTAGGTACCCCTGAAGTGTGCGTACCAACATGGCGGACACCGGAACGTAGTATGTGTACCAGATTACGGTTAAGCAAAATTTCAGGTACAAATACTACGGGAGTCACTTGGCTAGTTCCCAAACTCGTAATAGAACTAAAGTAAGGAAAATTGGAATAAAATTATAGCCTAACCCTAACCTGGTACACATACTACGTTCCGGTGTCCACCATCTTAGTACGTTTACTTCAGGAGTACCACTTTTTATCATCAACACGAAATAGTTGTTGTCATATGAATGCAAAAATCAGGGTACTCTCGTAGTATGTGAACCAAGATGGCGGACAACAGAACGTAGTATGTGTACAAGCTTAGGGTTATGCCATAATCTTATGCTAATTTTCCTAATTTTATGTCTATTACGAGTTCGGGGACCAGCCAAGAGACTCGCGTAGTATTTGTACATGAAATTATGGCCTAACCCTAACCTGATACAGATATTACGTTCCAGTGTCCGCCATCTTGGTTCACATACTACGGGAGTACCAAAATTAGTATTTAATATCTGGGCGAAACCATTATTCCTGTACTAGATTTCCCGTAGTATGTGTACCAAGATGGCGCACAACCTGAACATAGTATGTTTACCAGCCAAGGATATTCAGGTTGTGCGCCATCTTGGTGCATATTATTACGGGAGATCCCTGTAAACACTCTAGTGGTTCGGGACCAGTTTTTAGCTTCATTTTACTCATTGTAAAATAATTTTCACTCTCTTTTTCCCACTTCCTACAGAAAAATACAGATTTTTGTGATAAACTGGAATCTATGTTGGAAAAGGCTGGAGTGAAAGTGGAAGATGTGGTTAAAGCAGCAGAGGAAGCGTGTGGAACCGAAAGTCCAGATTTCGTGAGTTGAGTTCCAAGTATTTCATCTTTCTTGTTTGTACCTATCCATCTTTGTCGATAAATGCTTGTTTTACTCTGGCAGAAGACCCAATTAACTTTTTTGCCACGTAGTTGACCTATTAATCGTTTTGTTATTATGTTATTGTTTTTCTTTGTCCCAGAAAAAAACGCTGTTCTCTTTGATTACCGGACCAATCGTTTTCAAATTTACAGTGCTTAAATTTTTTGCTAGAAGTCTATTACTTTCATTTCTTTTAAATATTCCGGTGAGCTTTATGGGATTCGTTTTTTTTGTGTGTGTGTGTGCTATGACGTCATCAATATTTGCCATCATCTGGCGGTTCCGCGACCGCATATAGGCGCTAAGTGTCCGTATATTTGAGCATAGCTCTCTTGTTCATTAAATAATTGTATGTACCAGTTTGATGGTTCCTGATGTCAGTTCATCTATTTCATGGTTCGATTGAATTCTTATCAAACACCGAAATTTAAAAATCCCCTTTTATTCTGAATTACAAATTAAACTACGATATTTGAAATTCAGCATTTTGTGTTGCAGGATTGGGTCCTGCCATTGATAATCATGATCGCAGCTTGTGGATGTGTGGCTATTATATCGCCTTTCCAATTCCTGGTACAAGCAATCGGTGTTGTGATTGCCATTGTTGGAAATTTTCTGGTAGATGAAGTTGAGTCGGGATTGGCCACCGTATCTGCTGATAAACTCAAGTGATTTTAATTGTGTTTATTTAGGCGCTCCCGGAACAAAGTATGTGTACCAGGTTAGGGTTAAACCATAATTTTATTCCAATTTGCCTTATTTTAGTTCTATTACGAGTTCGGGGACTAGCCAAGTTACCCCCGTAGTATTTGTACCTGATATTATGGCCTAAACCTAACATGGTACACATACTACGTACCGGTGTCCGCCATAGTTTACTTTGATCAAAAGAGCGGATTGTAATTTTATCTCTTTTCACCCTTCCGAGTAATTATCAAAACCATAAATCTACTGCAAACAATTACTAATCCCTGTAAAGTATTGAAATTGTGTTTATAGTAATTCATTTTCCATTCATTTATATTAATGATAAATTTGAACATCAGAGACTCTTGAACGCACTGTAACAGATTTAACAGCACAAATAAATGAACAGGCGGCTCAATGTGCGTCAGTATTGCTTGCAATATTTTTTATCAATAATCTATCTACTTTCAGTATACGCGAATTTGCTCTGAAAAATTTGAATGAAAAAAATGCTCATATTCAGTTTTAGTTGCGCCAATCATTTGGTTTCTGCGAGTCTAACTACTTATCCTTATTTTTGTTAGTGTGCAACAAAACTCCTGATCACTTGGGTCAATTTGAGTTGACGTTGTTTTCGCCTTAGAATATCGAATAACCAAGTGAAATCTTTGCTAATATTAACCCCTTCACCACCAAGCATCAAGTTTATTCAAACTGTTTAATATGCTATCAAGAGTCTTTCGTGTTCAAAAGAATTATATAATGACTTAGGTATATATATTTCAATTCTGCCTATTACATTTGTGCAGTTATGAATCATTTAGCGAGAAATTACAAATTTCTGAATAAAAACTTTATAAATCATTCTCAAAGCCAAGAATTACAATATGTCGAATATTAACAATTTCAAAAGCATTCAATTATTTGATTAGATTTTGGCATCTCTGTGTCCATCCATACCTTATGTGTAGTTTTTTCCCTGTAGTTTTCATTTTGAATGTATATTACTTATTAAATGTATCAATTTTATCGTAACTGATTGGTAGTTAATAAATTGGAAAAAGACTAATAATATATATGTCTGGCACAATGTAAGGGAGAATGACTAAGAACAGGTATATAGATGAAAAAAGGGTACCTCGTGAAGTATGTGAACCAAGATGGCGGACACTGGAATATAGTATGTGTACCAGGTTAGGATTAGGCCATCATTTTATTCCAATTTGCCTTATTTTAGTTCTATTACGAGTTCGCGGATTAGCCAAGTAACTCCCGTAGTATTTGTACTTGGGATTATGGTGTAACCCTAGCCTGGTACACATACTATGTTTCATTGTCCGTCATCTTGGTTCACATACTTCGGGAGCAACGAAAAAAGTCATGTGATTTCATCCACGTATGTTCAACGTGTTTTTTATTTTTGAAAAAACATACTTTCGCCTTCTTATCTTTTATTTGTAGCTTATTATTTTTGAGGCGGGCCACGAGACTTGACAAATTCTGAAAAGGTGACGCGACTCAAAAAGTTTGAGAACCACTGGACTTCAATGTGTGCATAACTATATATCAATATAATACAAATAGCTAGGCAACATTGGTAGAAGCTTACCAAATACATATTATTCAAAAATAATTTTGTATTAACTTCCTGAAAATAACAAATCCCATCCCCCGTTGGGAAACGCTGCTGCATTTGCTGCTTTGGTTGGGTACTCGTTTTTGGTGCCATTTTTGTAATTATAAATTGATTTTTCACACTTTTTTTCACATCATATAGGGAGATGAAAATTCCTCCAAACTATTGGATGACTTTCTGGTAAAGGCTGGAGTGAAGAAGGAAGATCTGGATGATGCAAAAAAGAGAATTCTTGAAGGCAAAAGTGCGAATTTTGTGAGTTGAGTTTCAAAAATATTTTCTGTGTTTTCATGTTTACTCACTCATCATCATATTTAAAAAAAAGCTTGAATTCACAACCTTTGCATGACCGCGGCTGCATTGTGCTGAGCATAAGTAACATATTTCGCTATCATCGCACTGATTAGCTTGTGTGGGTTTGCTGTATGGGCACTGATCATGAACAATAGGATTATTAGAGGAAACTAGGATTACTACTTCGGGTGTGATTCATAAAGTGAAATTTTGGTGGCATTAACAAAATTAAATTCCCAACCAACACTTTGTTATTTGTGTTTCAGGACTGGATCAAGTTTGTCTTAGTCATTGTAGTGGGTGGGGTTGGTGGGGCATTTTTCGGATGGCTTTTCCCATACCTGTTTGAAGGAAGTATGGCTGCCATAGTTGCTTCTGTCGGTGGATTTATTGGAGCCGGCATTGGAGCCAAGATTGGTTGGCACATAAGTTGATTCACTCAAGAGATTTTGATGGTGTTGGTAATTATTGAAGAGAAAGGAAACAAAATCAATTTTATTTCAAGCCTAGTTTCGCCAAAAAAGCGAATCTTTTCACTTTTTCGAGTAATTATCAAAACCACAAATCTACATTGAATAATTACCGATGCCTGTAAAATTTAAAATGTGTTTTATTGTAATTCATTTTCTTGTACTTCCGTAGTGCGTGTACCAGGTTAGGGTTAAGCCATAATTTTATTTCATTTTCCCATATTTTAGTTCTATTACGAGTTCGGTGACTGTTTGTGTTAACCAAGTGAATATACCCCCAGCCCATGGGCTCTCCCTCCTTTCACAACTTGATGTAAAATAGGCGAACGAAATTAGTTACCTCCATATTGGTACACGTACTCCTCGAGCAGCCATTTATATTAATGATGACTTTAAACATTAGAGACTCTCGAACGCATTACGACAGATTTATTGAAATAAAAAGTTCGAGTTAAATTGTTTTTCTTGATTTTTTGTTGAAATGGATTCTTTCTGGTTCAAAGTAACCACAATCTATGAAACTAATTATTATAATAAAGGTTTTTAGTATATAAAATTAACATAGCTTTTCCGAAAGTCTCTTGCTACCTTTAGTGAAAATAATAGGAACATTTATTTTAGGTTACCGGTATGTTTTTTTTTTTAATTTAACTGAAATTATTACAAATATTAACCCCTTCACCACCAGGTATCAATTTTATTCAAATTGTAGAATGTGCTATCGAGAGTCTTTTATGTTCAAAACTAATTTGACTGTACATATATTTTAATTCTGCCTATTGCAGGGATGTCGAAAACCAATTAATTCACGATTTAAAAAAATGTTTTTGAATATGAAATATCAAATATTCTAAATTCCAGCCTGCTTGCATTTCCCCATTAATCATTGTTAAAAACTGAAATTTATTATAATAAGATAAACATTGTTTATTTGATTGCGCAACCTCTACAGTTATTCGAAATGGATCATTTGCTGAGAAATTACAAATGTCTAAATAAAAACTTTATAAATCATTCTCAAAGCCTAGAACTAATTACCTATGTCGAATGTTACCAATTTCAAAAGCATTCAATTTTTTGATTCGGTTTTGGCATCCCTGTGTTTATAGCATATGTGTAATTTTTTTTCTGTAATTTCCATTTTAAATGTATACTAATCAATTCTATCGTAACTGCTTAGTAGCTAATAAATTGTAACAAGACTAATAATTATGCGTCTGGCACAATGTAGGGGAGGATGGCTAAGAACAAGTATAGGTAAAAAGTCTGGTACTCCCGAAGTCTGTGAACCAAGATGGTGGACAGCGGAACGTAGTATGTGTACCAGTTAGGCCATAATTTTATTCCAATTTTCCTTATTTTAGTTCTATTGCGAGTTCGGGGATTAGCCAAGTGACTCCCGTAGTATTTGTACCTGGAATTAGGGCCTAATCCTAACCTGGTACACATACTACGCTCCGGTGTCCGCCATCTTGGTTCACATACTTCGGGAGTACCGAAAAAAGTCTTGACGTAGTTTGAGAAAATATTTTATTTTTGAGATAGCGAAATTAATATTGCATGTGGGAGCTTCAGTCGCACGACAGGACTGAAGGAAAACCCTGAGAAAGGGCCTGAACAAGATTTTTATGCATTTTGCTATAACTATAAAATGGGAGATATTTTACTGTGAAATCCGGACGATTGCACATTACAATGAGTTGACCTGTAGATCAGGGCTACTCAACTATTTTTACCGAAGATCCACATACAAAACTTCAAAATTATTTGGGTTCGGTCTTTCCAGAAATTATATTTCGGCGACCTTTAAACGCGCACTTCCTCGAGCGGCTAATGATTATCAGCAAATCAAGATTGTTTATTATGGTGTTGTGGTTCTTTTCATATATATTCAAAACTATAAAAGTCATTTTATAAAAGGAAACTTAAAAAATGCGGCTAATGATTCAAAATAAAGAATTAGGTGCGGTTCGGATCTAATACTAGAAAGGTCCGGATTGGGACCGCGGTCCGCTAGTTGAGTAGCCCTGTCGTAGATGATGGATTAGTTATATCACAACATTGGTCTGGTTACCAGTCCAACGAGTTAGTTGACTTATTCAAGCCTTTTACTTACCTAGGATTGTAACTCCCATTATGTCCCACCCACGACATCACTGTAAACTCGACAATAATTAGAAAAAAAAATTTCGAAATGGTCGACGGCTAGCGCCACGCACTAAGCGTTAGTAACACCCTGCCATTGCAGTGATGCCGTCCGTTTTTTGTGCATCATAATTACCAAAATATAAACGAAGCAAAGACAGAGGCACTCGGTAAAGCCTTGAATGAAGTTTATAACAGGAACGCGTCATGTATCTTGTAAATCTTTTTCGGGACCTCCTGAAGTATACGCACCAAGATGGCGCACAACCTGAACTCAGGTTGTGTACCAGGTTAGGGTTTAGGTTGTGCGACATCTTGGTGCGCATACTCCAGGAGTACCCTTTTTCGTAATTATCTACACCGAAAGGCAAAAACTGCGTGAGAATGTCACTACAAGTATCACCAAGGGAAGCGAATAACTTTTATCGACTCATTGTGACGTTTGAAACATCATTATCCTTGTGTCTGTCGAGGAAGACGTGGCAAAATCCCAGAATTGAATGCTGGGTATTAGTATCATTTACGGTTCATCGTCTCAAAAAGTAATATATAATTGTAGCGAGAAGTGGCTGCTTTAAGTCGGCGAATAAGCGTGCTGGCTTTGTAGTGAGGCATTAGGCTCTACCATGATGCTGTAGCATGTTATATCCCGGGTTCAAATACCATGCCCTTACTCTGGGTGTAATAAATAGGGTAAGCAATGTCGAATCAGAAATATTCGGATTTTTTAAAACTATAGTAGCACCTTACCCGGCAGTAGCTATTTGTGCACAACTTTTTTCAGAGCAAAATGAGTGAAAATACGTCAAATAAAAGTCTTGTATGTTGGTAAACTGGCAAGAGCTATTTAGAGGTCGAGGCCGGTACATTTCTCAGCCCTGCATCTCCTTGCGTAAGTCGCTTGTACGTCCGTACAAACACGGAGGTCTGACATTCTGCACCCTACATTGTTTTCTAAACCAAACTAAAATATCATACAGGTGGCTTTGTAAGTTGTTTGAGGATGATAACATACGAATATTTATGAGATATTCGCCATATTGGGCAAGTACTGTGTTTTCCCGAAAATAAGGCTGCGTCTTGTTTCAATTTTCTTCTGAAAAATAACCCTAGGGCTAGAATGTCTTTTATTTTCATTTATCAAAAACAAAATAAGAAGTACGAGGTTTTTAACTATGCAAAATAAGAAAACCGATATCAGTTTCCCCATAAATACCACGTTTTTTTTTTTTCAAAATAACTGCAAAACATAGATTATTTATCATTTAATAAGGGTGGGAGAGATTTCTTGCTATCGACTAGCACTAGGTCAAAAAATAATTTCTTATAATAATTTTATATAATTAAATAATTTTATTGACTATGTCTTATTTTTTATTTATTTAAAATCATTTTAAAAATTCACGCTAGGTCTTATTTTCGGGGAAACGCAGTGGGGTGGGTTAGTGGGTATACAGACTTTTCGTTCCACGGATATTTTCTCCTCATTTTTTTTCTGTAACCAAATGTAGCCCACTTGCGTG